AAAAGCTAATTTTTATTCAAAAAATCTCTAAAATGACTTTTAAAGTCATATAACAAAAAGTAAATTAATGATAAAAACATATTTTTGTAACATAACACGGGGACTTTAATATTTTATATATCGGAAACCCATAAACATTCCATTGAGTACAGATTTAGTCAAATGCTACATTTATTTTCAGATTTTCCTAATGCTGATAGCTGTACATGGCCAGGGAATGGTAAGTCATAACAAAAATAAAAAATCATGTATAATAGTAACAAGACAATGTAGATTATTAAGTAGTATCTATGGGAAATCTCCATCTTGTGTTTTATTCATATTGCATGTTAACAAGATCAGATATATTTCAAGAATAAATCGACGTCTACATACAGGGTGTCTAAAAAACAGGACCGTAAGAAAGTTGAATAATTCGGTCAATTTTGCATATTTTGCCTTGGAATTTTTGAATTATTAAGTTCATTCAATGTGAATTTTGTTGTGAAAGTTTGATATTGATCTGCAAGTTGAGTCGAAAACTACAGTTCCTTACAAAACATGGCCCAAATGTACGTGCACCTCTCCTCTCTATGGACAATTAAATCCGGCGAACAAAGATGTTAATGATCCTCCTACACACATTTCTTTTTGAATTGACAAGTTTGTTCCAAGAACAATTACTACTAGGGCTAACATCCTCCTGATGAAGTGTCGCAGCGATCATTGCATTCTGAACAATGCAATGCCTGGGTGGCAATGAGCAAACATGGAATCATCAGTCCTTTATGGTTTAAAGATGAATGGGGACGTGCTATCCCATGAACAAGGACCAGTATGTTCAAGTTCTTACTAAGTTTTGGAGGTCACTAAGCACCATAAGTGGCGTCTAAGGAGATAGGCAGTGGTTTCAACAAGCCAATACCACCCAAACACTGCAAATGATATGGTAAAATTGTTTAGGCAATGCCTAGGTGGTCAGCTCATCAGTCGCCGAACTCAAAACATATGGGCAGCTTATTCGCCAGATCCAAATCTCTCAGATTTTTATCTTTGGGGATTTCTCTAAGCCAATGTGTATATTGAGAGGCCCCTAACAATTTTAAGAGTGAAATAACTACCCCAATTCGTACCATCCACATTGATGTGTATAGGTCAGGGTCATCAACTTTGGTCGCAGGATTCATTTGTGCATAGAGAGAAGAAGTGACCATTTTGAGCATGTTTTGTAAGATACTGTAGTTTTTGACACAATGAACAGATTATCATAAAAATTTCATAACAAAATTCACATTGAATGAACTGAATAATTCTAAAATTTCAAGGCAAAATATGGAAAATTGAGCTAATTGTATGTTTGAATGTGTGTATAAAGGTTACCTCTGGTGTGTTTGACACCTGTTCCCCTATGAGCTTTTTTCATTCAGTCTCTGAGCACGATAAGCTAAGCGCTGTCGCCGTAACCACGAGGTCAGGAGTTCGAGATGCGTGAGCTGCTTGCGTTTATGCATATATGATCAAATACATTTTTACATCACTACCTGAAATGCTACTGTAGTGTCACTTTTTGTGACTTGCGTTGGTCGTCGGCGCTTGTATGAATTGTAAAACGTAGAATTGTAGATAGCAGAATTCTGTCTGTAATTACATTTACTGGGTAGTTTCCTTCTCAGTTTTAGATCTGTGTTTACTTTCCGTATTTAGTTACACCATCGAATCGCAAGTAATGTTTCTGCGAGAAATCCAAACAGTTGAAAATTTACGTTCAGCACGTAATGAGGATACCGTTGCCTTCTTAAAGTTTTAACTTAAATAATATTAAATAGTCTATTTAATTAGTTAACACATGTGTACAGTGTCAATAACAATGAAATGTTTCTTGTTTTTGTAGAGAACGCCTGTTCCTCAGCTCCTTGTCATGGAGAGGGCGCCGTGTGTATAAACACATTTGGCGGCAATTATAAATGCTTATGCCCACCCGGGACAAGTGGTGATCGCTGTGGTCAAGGTAAGAAAAAACTATGAAGTCATATCTACGATCCTTGTATTAGTTAAAATAAGCAATATTAAACGTCTGAATTACATTTTGTATTTCATTGTATATTCATATTCTATACATATACACGCGTGATAATCTGTTGTAAAATTCTAACTCGATATTTTGCAATATATGCAGCCATGTAGTGATTACAAAATTCAAAAATCGTCATTTTGTCACATTTGGATCGCAAGGTAATAGCCGAACTCTTTTGGATCACTGATTATGAATTCATGGTCAATTATAGATAGTCAGAAAATAACAATTTCAATGTTGTCGATATCGGTCAAGGTACTTATAGGATATCCTATGATTTTGAGGAATATCATTTTTATCTACGAGGTGATATTGATATCTGCACGAGAGAGCAAAGCGAACGAGTGCATATATCAATATCACCGAGTAGATTAAAATGATATTCTGAAAAAAATCATAGGATGTTATCCTACACTTACAAGGAGTGTACTAAATGTATAATATCATTGCAAAATGAATTTCATGCCAAATAGAGTCAGTCTGGAGGAAAATCAACAAGCGGAGTATATCGTCACAATATCCTCCGCATATTGGGTTTTCCGGAGTAAATCGTTACGATATCCTCCGGTTATTCATTTTGCCAATAAATATCAAATTTATTTTTTAATGTTATTATACATTTAGTACATTAAGTGTAGGATAACTGGGAATATCAGCCTTGCGGTTGTTTCGTGCCATTCACTTTCTCATTGGTTCTTCTAGTAATAAACTATAATTCATATTTCATTACTAGGTAATTACTGCTTTCTCTGCTCAAGTAAAAGATGGAGGAACGTCACGTGTCCTGTGTTCGACAAAAAGCCATTCTTGGCATCGATGTCTGTACAAGACGTAACACTCAAGACTCAAGTATCGAGGTAGGATCAAATGTTTATAATAAGATCTGTTAATATATAGGTTAAGGTAGAACTTCACAGAAGATCAGCTTTTTCTCCAATTCAGATTTTCTTGAAAAGAATCATGGTAAAAGATATACTGATGTATAACATAATATGTGAAAATGAGAAAAATTGACAGTCTGGTTTTTTCAAGAAAAATATTTTATCCACATTGCATGCGGTGAAAAGTCACAGTCCGGATCCGAAAAAATTTTTTTAATAAAAATAATAAATTAAGTATTTAGAAATATCAAGAAAATACTAAGTGGTTCCAAAAAGGATAAAAAAAAAATAAATAAATAAAATACACCCCGGGACTCAAACCCGCATCCTCCCGCCTGTTAGCGCCTGTTACTTGTTACCCCTATAAGATATCCCGGCAACGTTGAAAGGGAGATAATTTTGGGGTAAATATATATACAATATTGATTCTCGTCCACCGGGAACCTTTGCGAGAGTAGGATTTATGATGCGCGAACTGACTGCGCAATGGTTATTTAACTTTTACCTAAAGTTATACGTGACGTTATTAGACTCCAGATATTGTTTTTGCCATTATTTTATTAGACTCCATATGATAATCTGGAGTCTATTGTTTTTGCATCTTTTCTTTATTATTAGACTCCAGATGATAATCTGGAGTATATTGTGTTATATCTTTGTCTTTCTCTTGTAGTTCTCTAAAACCTTCTTTTGTTATGCTGTAGAAGTGTTGTTTCAGCTGGTGTGATTTCTGCTTCTATGGACATCAAATTTGAATGGGTCTGTTTCAACTCACAAGGTAGATCAGGGATTTGTGTAGTGAAATGAAATGTCCAATGACATAGCGCTCACTTCAAATTGTTCTTCTTTATTGTCTTCTTCCTCTTCTGTAAGTAGAAAGAAAGAAAGTAGGTCAAAACATAAAGTTCTCCATATACGTGTAAGTTATTAAATAAGGGTAGACTTTTCTCAGGAAGCCGAATCTGGAAACCAAATTTCGATTGGTCTGACCAGTTTGTCTGTAAGGCCTATCTGGTCTGTCTGTCCAGTCTGTCTATCTGGTTTGTCTGTCTGGTTTGTCCGTCTGTCTGTCAACCAAAAAAAACATGTCTAGTTACAATTATTGTCTAAGAGAGAGCGGGTAAAAATTTGATTGAGAGAAAAAAAGTGTGTGATAGAGAGATATAGGAAGAGAGAGGGGGAGGGGAGAGAAGAAGTCAGGGAGAGAGAATTACAGGTGTAAAAGGGTAGGTGGTCCTATCAAATTTTGGGTCCTACTCTCTATTGATTTATATGGTGACCTAATAACAATTATTTTCCTTATTATTTATACACAGTCAGGGCCAGTAAGGGCTGTAAGGAAAGGGGACTATAATCCCAGGGGACCATAATTTATTTTACACGAGAGAGAGGGAGAAAAGGCGAGAGACAGAAAGTAAGAGAGACAGATAACGATACATGGAAGATATACATTGTTCGCTGTGTATTTCAGGACAAGATGCACGGTGAACGACAAATGGGACTTCGATTACAACACAGGGACCATGTGGGTAGCTAAAGGTTGCAGGGGCGAGTTTTGTGTAAACTTTCAAGAATCTATTGAGGCTACAACAACAGTGACTGATGCTACAACAACAGTGACTGATGCTACAACAACAATGACTGATGCTACAACAACAGTAACCGATGCTACAACAACAGTGACTGATGCTACAACAACAGTGACTGATGCTACAACAACATCGACTGATGCTACAACAACAGTGACTGATGCTACAACAACATCGACTGATGCTACAACAACAGTGACTGATGCTACAACAACAGTGACTGATGCTACAACAACCATGACTGATGCTACAACAACAGTGACTGATGCTACAACAACAGTGACTGATGCTACAACAACATCGACTGATGCTACAACAACAGTGACTGATGCTACAACAACAGTGACTGATGCTACAACAACAGTGACTGATGCTACAACAACAATGACTGATGCTACAACAACAGTGACTAATGCTACAACAACAATGACTGATGCTACAACAACTATGACTGATGCTACAACAACAATGACTGATGCTACAACAACAGTGACTGATGCCACAACAGCAATGACCGATGCTACTTCCACTGCCTCGCTGCCAACAACAACCCTTCTACCAACCCTTTCAAAAGGTATGTCAGCTAATTCTTTTATAATAAATCTAGATCAAAATTTTTGTTTTCCTTATTTTTGCGACCCTGACACAACTATTCAATAGTTTTCTTTGAAGATATATACAGCAAAGAATATGCTAATAGGGTAAGAATTACGTTTAGCACTCAGAAGGTATTTTGACCTAGTTTTGAGAGGTCAGTGTCAATAAGATAGGTCAACAAAAAAAGTCCTCCAAATTCTGATATTTTGTGAACGTTTACCTGGGCAATATAATTACCTATGAATTCGTGAAGAAAGCAAAAAAAAATAGCAAGGCTTCATAGGTGAAAATAGTCGAACATGGACTTTTCACTACAGAATACGCTTCAATTGCAATAATTCTTTTATATTACCGTAAACATATCTTATTCCGTGCAATTTATAAAGTACATGCATTAATGCGTGCGCCTGTTAAATAGATATAACGTATTACATCACAAAAGTACATGAAAATGTGGTTTTAAACTCGAATAGAAGGATCTGACACATCTAGATATTGGCTACTCAAAGTGGATTTAGAGATCATACTCCACCATTATTTAAAGAATTAGGAATTCTCACCATTTCTGATATAGTTAAAGTCAATGTGGCAGAAGTCTTCTTTAAGTGGCAAAATAATGAAAATAACCTTCATGATATATTTCCCAACTTAATTATTTAAAAGACATATTGAACTACATAAGTATGATACAAGAGGTAAATATAACTATGCCTTGCCTAAATTTAAAACAGGAACCTTTGGCAAAAAGATGCTTTCATTTTCTGGACCATCAATTTGGAATGGCCTCCCATCAGAAATAAAAAAAATCAAGGTCAAGTAAATGTCTTAAGTCTAAATATAAGAAACATATTCTGGCGTTGTATGCATGATCTTCTTCTTTTTTATATTTATGTACTGCAGCCTCCTTATCCATGTTCTATCTCCTTTATAGAAATATATACAGATATAACTCCAAGCCTGGGAACTGGACACTAAACTAGTTAGCTTTTTATCTATGATGCACCTCTCCCTCCCTCTTCGAATTTCACTTAGACAAAACACAACCTTGACATGTTTGATTCATTGACCTTACCTTGCTCTTAATATTTGTAATATTATAGTTCTACATGTACGGGTATAAACATCGGGAATGATGTCACCTGTTAATTATTTTATATGTAACATGTATTATTGTATTATTAAGGAATAAATTGAATTGAATTGATTTGAATAAATACACCTATTGAAATCCTCAGAAAATAGCCAAAATGTAACATACGAGAGTCCGAAATATGTTGCGATACTTTCCCTCCTCATTTTAACTTCTTTGTCATAATAAGACTCTATAATGATAATCAGATTACTCATAAAGTAGCATGTCCCAAACATAATCGAAATGTATGAGCAATTGCATACGTATAGTTTTGTAAACGATCAACAAATATTTGTTTATTGTACATATATGAACACATTTTCAAATAATCTCTTAAGATAAATAAGAATGCAGTTATACTTGCATTGCTAAGTTCCAATAAATTTAATTATACTAACAAGATAAACGAGATTAAAAAACAAGAGACTTGGATGCAATCACGTTGTTATGTATAAGTCTATTTTGTTTCAGCTGAATTGGAAGCTGTCTATGCTGGTTGTAGGAGGCCATTTCCGAACGACAGTCTAAATGGCCATACAGTTTATGAAGACCTAACGATAGAGCTGTGCATTCATGATTGCAGACAAAAAGGTAATACCACAATTATACTTGTAATTGATCAATAATGTGTCTCGTTAATATGCGAGTTTGAATACACCTTATGATAACCTAACGCTGCAGGTGTACATTGATGATTCCAGACAAAAAGGTAATACCACATTTCTACTTGAAATTGATTAATATGTCTAATTAATATGCTAATTGGAATACACCTTATGATAACCTAACGCTGCAGGTGTACATGAATGATTGCAGACAAAAAGGTAATACCACATTTCTACTTGAAATTGATTAATATGTCTAATTAATATGCTATTTGGAATACACCTTTTGATAACCTAACGCTGCAGGTGTACATTGATGATTGCAGACAAAAAGGTAATACCACATTTCTACTTGCAATTGATTAATATGTCTAATTAATATGCTAATTGGAATACACCTTATGATAACCTAACGCTGCAGGTGTACATTGATGATTGCAGACAAAAAGGAAATACCATAATTCTTGCAATTGATTAATGTGTATAGAAATTAATGAATAATTTGAAAGATGGATCTCTAGATATTGTAGAATCATACTGCAAGACTAATGCTAAAATACGATGAATGACTGTACATCTTTCGCAAATGGTATTCCACGAAGCCTGGAGGGCTAGTGTATGTATGTATGTATATCTTTATTGCCCTTTATGAAAAGGAGATACATGTATACAGTGTACAATGAAAATAAAGTGGAATAGCAGTGTGGAGTAGCAACTTGGAAAAGTGTCACATGTATTCAACTAAAGTAGCATAAACTATTTGTTCCAATAGGAGTTACACGTTTTAACCTCTACGGGAAAGAAGTATAATTCAACTCATCTCTGTCCTCTACTTCATCTACTTCATTTAATTCATACATTGTTTCATTTTGATCGTTTTCAAGAAAGAAGTATAATTCAACTCATCTATGTCCTCTACTTCATCTTTTTCATTTAATTCATACATTGTTTCAATTTGATTATTTCAAGAAAGAAATAAAATTCAACTCATCTCTGTCCTCTACTTCAGTTAATCCATACATTGTTTCATTTTGATCGTTTTCAGGAAAGACGTATAATTCAACTCATCTCTGTCCTCTACTTCATCTTTTTCATTTAATTCATACATTGTTTCATTTTGATTATTTCAAGAAAGAAGTATAATTCAACTCATCTCTGTCCTCTACTTCATCTTTTTCATTTAATTCATACATTGTTTCATTTTGATTATTTCAAGAAAGAAGTATAATTCAACTCATCTCTGTCCTCTACTTCATCTTTTTCATTTAATTCATACATTGTTTCATTTTGATTATTTCAAGAAAGAAGTATAATTCAACTCATCTCTGTCCTCTACTTCATCTTTTTCATTTAATTCATACATTGTTTCATTTTGATTATTTCAAGAAAGAAGTATAATTCAACTCATCTCTGTCCTCTAATTCATCTACTTCAGTTAATTCATACATTTTTCCATTTTGATCATTTTCTGGAAAGAAGTAAAATTTAACTCATCTCTGTCCTCTACTTCATCTTCTTCATTTAATTATTTCATTTTGATCATTTCAAGAAAGAAGTATAATTCAACTTGATTATGTTCAGTAAAGAAGTATATTTCAACTCATCTCTGTCCTCTACTACATTAAATTAATACATTGTTTCATTTTGATTATTTTCAGGAAAGAATAATAATTTAATACATCCCTGTCCTCTGATTCATTTTCTTAATTTAATTTATATATTGTTTCATTTTGACTATTTCAGGAAAGAAGTATAACTTAACCCATCTCTGTTCTCTATTTCATCTACTTTATCAATACATTGTTTCATTCTGATCATTTTCATATTTCTCAAAATTCACTGTTAAGAATAAAAGAGAGCCTTACTCTTAGGCTTATTTTAGAAATTTGGAGATTGACCAAATGTGGATCCTTCTCTTTCCTCTATGTCATCTTACTCTTCTAAGTCATACTTTGCTTTATTTGGATCATGTGCAGCTCCTTTTCCCAGCATGTAGCAAAAGGAGCTAGTAAATGTTAAAGAGAGAATCAGAGATAGCGAACAGCCTAACAAAAAATTGTTCAAATTTTAAAATAATTCGGGCTTATGTCATTCCTTTTTATGTCTCTTTTCTAAAAATCCCCAAAGCGCACACTTTATTTCAGGAAAACTAAAGATTTTTACAATGATGCGTTATTTATTTTCTATAAGAATGGTTACCAGGGAGAATTTAAACATTTTTCACCCATTTTTGCATATTGAATCCATGATAATTTCACTAATTTATTATATGTCGAAGATCTTTTAGGAGATATTGTATTTGAGATTTTAAGGAACAGATTGGTAGGTCAATTGAACATGTTGCTTGCAATTTTGTCACGCCCATAGATCTGATTCTGCCTTTAACTAGTACACGAGAGAGCTGCTTACAAGAGTGCTACTAGCTCGATAAGTGGCCTGTGCTGGCTTAAACTGTCTATAATTCTTGCCAAGATAAAGATACCAGTTCCAGTCTGATTAATACCACGCCCTTTGATCGTTAAAATGGGATGGAGGGGGGGGGGCAAGACAAAATTTAAAATTGAATTTCTGAATGAATAGGCGTAGGGTATGGTAGAATATTTTTTGCGATTTTTTAACCCATACGCTTCTAAGATATGATATTAAAAAGGCGCAAGGCCACCAACGGACACAAGTCTACGTTTTTGCTATAAATCAAGCAGCAATAGTCTACATGACCTATTATAAATACTTGTAAGTGACGTTATTATAACTAAATTAATGCCTTGCTGACTTTATTAAATAAATTTCCAAACGTTACATAAAAAATAATCGAAAATAATTAATTTGGGACGGAGGAGGGCGGAGAAAGGGGGAGCAATATGTACTATATTAGACATGATACGAGAGGTATTAGTCCTATGACTCGAAATCTCCCCATTTTCTCATTCTTCAGAGGTGTAACATCCAGTTTCTTACGAAGTTAATGATTTCATTTTCCAAATACACGCGTTCCTAAAAAGTTGTTTCACTTTATAGATATATTGCTCCCCCTCCGCCCCCCCCCCCTCCGCCCCATTTTATTTTTATGTCCCCACCACATAGTGTGGGGCCATATTGTCGGCCTAGGCGCGTCCGTCTGTCGGTCCGTCTGTCCGTCTGTCTGTCCGTACGTCCGGCAGTTTTCTCCAAAACCGCTACAGATATCACCTTCAAATTTTCAGGGATAACTTATGAGTGCATACAGATGTGGATGTAAAAAAATTAACTCGATACCTACTTCCTGTCGGCCATTTTGAAGTCAAATGCTAAAATCCTTGTCTGCAAACTTTAAGAAAAACTGCTTCACAGTTGCTTTTAAAACTTTAACATCTTGTTCAGCTCACTTCATTCTAGATCTGATTAGGTTTTGGACCTGCTAGCTCAGTCATGTCAGCCATTTTGAATGTCTTAAGAAAAGTTAGCGCGCGATAATACTTTGTATCATATTGAATGGTGTTTTTGAGTTTTCATACTTTAACTATTTAGTAGCTTTATAAATAATTTCAGATGTACTTTGCTGTAAAAGCCTACTTTGTTGTTAACAGTAGTTATATGTGATAATTTTGTAAAAAGAAATCAGCAAAAACTTATAAGGACTTTTTTATTGTCGGCCATTTTGGATTTTTCGGTCCTAAAATCTTGTCTGGGAAGTCTTGTCTGCGCGTTTTCAGGTGAACCGTTTGGTGGATCAATTTCAAATTTTCAGGGATGATTCTTAGTATAAAAATCTAGATCTCATTAGTTTTTTGGCATTCTGGGTAAATGTCAAGGCAGCCATTTTGGATTTTCCGTCCTAAAATCTTGTCTGTAAAGTCTTGTCTACTCGTTTTCAGGTGAATCGTTTCGTAGATCAATTTCAAATTTTCAGGAATGATTCTTAGTATGAAAATCTAGAACTGATTAGTTTTTTTGCATTCTGGGTAAATGTCAAGGCAGCCATTTTGGATTTTCCGTCTTAAAATCTTGCCTGTAAAGTCTTGTCTCCGCGTTTTTAGGAGAACAGTTTGATAGATCAATTTCAAATTTTCAGGGATGATTCTTTGTATGAAAATCTACATCTGATTACTTTTTTTGCATTCTGCGTAAATGTTAAGGCAGCCATTTTGGATTTTCTGTCCTAAAATCTTGTCTGTAAAGTCTTGTCTACCCGTTTTCAGGTGAACCGTTTGGTAGATCAATTTCATATTTTCAGGGATGATTCTTAGTATGAAAATCTACAAACAGATTAGTTTTTTGACATTCTGGGTAAATGTCAAGGCAGCCATTTTGGATTTTCCATCCTGAAATCTTGTCTGTAAAGTCTTGCTTACATGTTTTCTGGTTAACTGTGTGACGGATCAATTTCCAATTTTCAGGGGTGGTTCTTAGTATGAAAATCTAGAACTGACTAAATTTTTGGCATTCTGGGTAAATTTTAAGGTGGCCACTTTGGATTTTCCGTCCTCAAATTGTGTTGGTAAAGTCTTGTCTACTCATTTTCAGGATAACCATTTCACGGGATCACCACTTGGTGGGGACATTTTGTACACATTTGTGTTCTTGTTTCATTTTTATACAACGTATTAAAACTTATTTTATAAAGCCAGCAATGGCATTAATTTAGTTTGATAACGTCACTTACAAGTATCTATAATAGTTCATGTAGACTATTGCTGCTTGATTTATAGCAAAAACGTTGACTTGTGCACGTTGGTGGCCCTGCGCCTTTTTTAATAGATCTAAAGGATGTAGGAATGGTATAATAAAATGACAATGAACTCACAATTTTTTCACTTGGCACCTTTTGAGGTGAATCCCGGCTATGGCATTAATGGTTGAGAAATAGGGATCGAAACCAACCATAGTTTTCTCCTGATGACCATTGTGAATTGTTGTGTTTTATGGATTATGATGACGGCTTTGCGAACGGATGTTGACCCTTTGAATTGCCTATGGACTTCGAGACTGGATGTTATCTATCTCACTTCATTTGAGACTTTCATGAGTACTAGTATCTACAATTATTATCAATTATTATCTACAATTGGCGATCAAGTTTTTCAAGTTTTCTTCAACATATATTGTAATGACTTCAGTATGAATGAAATGTCCCTTGGTGTTCTGGTCCTGGATTGTGATATTGGTTCTCGATTGGAGGGGGAAGGGGGATGTTTCTTTTCATGTTAGTTCATGGTTTTTGGGATATATAGGGTCTACTTTTCTTATGACAGATTTAAACTTACAGTTTGCTTTTCTTGTTGGGTTTCTTTAAAGTTTTTAGTCACCCTTCCTTTTGGCATTTGCGCTTATATATTCATATTTTAGAAGAGTATCGATTCAGAAAAAATCTCAGAAGACCTAACATATTCTACCATACCGTGCGCATATCCATTCAGCAATTCAATAGTAAACTTTTCTTGAAAAAATAAATCTTCCAGATTTGTTGAATTTTCTAGCAGAAATTGCCTACTCCCCTCTCCGTCCTATTTTCACGATCACCGGGCGTGAATACGGGGAGCTACTTCTACCTTCAGATATCAAATTACATTATCCTACCACACTAATATATGCATTGTGGTGTCTCGAGTGAAATAATTGTAACTTAAATAAACTATAATTTCAGGAATAAGGTTAGCAGGCCTCTATGGCGGATCCAAATGCTTATGTGGAACACGGGGAGGTAATCTCAGTCCGAATGGCTGTACAATACCTTGTACAGGGAACGCAGACCAGATATGTGGCGGGATTGATAATGGATCTCCAAGCATGTCCATATATCGTGTGCAATAATAATACTGGACCACTGTTATGTGGGCCAATATCCCACACTTGTATATAAACTCAAACAATGACCTACTTCTTGGAGCTGTTTATATCCCTCCATATAACACTAAATATTCTAAGCTTGAGGCATTCGATGAGATTGAAATCGATATCCATTTACTAAAAAAACAATAAAGAATTGTGCTTATGTGATGATTTTAATGCGCATATTGGAACACTCACAGACATTCTCGTCAATGATAATGATAACACAATGACTGATAACACGGAATTAACAGATCAATTAGCTATGCTAGAATGTCGACAGAAAGACACAGTGTCGTTCCAAAAGTAGATGGATATGGCACATGATTAATCGAGTTATGCAAAATGAACTACTAATTGCGAATGGAAGATGTGGACAAGACAAAGGAGTGGGTAAGTCTACAACCAGAGAGACATCAGTGATTGACTATGTGATAACCACTGTTACTTTATGAGTCTTCTGAAAGATTTCATAATACAATGACTTTGATGGAATTATATCAGTCGAGATATACATTGTGGTATAGAATTGACATTATAGCTAAATATAAGCGACACTGAAACAGTTATTCTAGCCCCTACTCATATTACCCGCAATTCATCACTCTCACCAAGTAATAAACCACGCCCTAGAGGGAATAATGAGAAATCTGAAGAGTTTCTCAACGGTATTAATACACCTACAGTAACATCTATAAGTAGCAGAATAGCAAGAGACGAACTGTACATAGAAGATGCACAACTGAAATAAGTGAACTTTTCGAGGAAGCAGCATTATCAACATTTGGAATGACTACAAAGAAACCGAGACAAATAACTTCAAGATTACGTAAAAAACAACAGAATGTAGAGACAAAGGAAGAGACTATAAAAAGGCCAAGAGGACGTTTTATGTAACAATATCAGATAAAACGAAAGACAATTTACTAGAAAAGGACAGCATACAAGAAAGAAATACGCAAAGCACAGACTTTATTTAAAAGAAGAAAAATAAAAGAACTAAAATCATTGAAAAGTAACGTTACAATAGAAAGGACTATTGGGCGATTATCAGGGAACCTAAAAAATACAATTGCAAAGCAATAATGGACAGCTTATTACATTTCTTAAAATCTTTTAATTATAAATAATTGGGTTCAATAGATAATCAGCAGAATTTTAATGAGTCACATCAAATAGATAATACTTGTTTGGAAAATGATATGCTTAATGCTGAAATAACAGCAGATGAAATTAAGTTAATTGTTAAAAAACTGAAAAATGGTAAAAGTGTTGGTATAGATGGCATACTCAATGAATATATCAAATGTACTTTTGACATACTTACTAACTTTTATACTGTTTTTTAAGGTGCGGTGGAAGTTAACAGGAAGTGACAAAAAAAAGTTTCAAAACCATTTTGAAAATTTATTTGAATCAAGATAATAGAGTCCTGTTTTGACCTCCAGTCAGTTTAACTAGTTCCACATATCATTCACATGACCAGGAACACAATGGAAATGATCAGAATGACCCAAAACATGATGAAATAACCTTTTCAGCCCTTTGAAAATGAAAAATAGCTCTAAATGATACAATCTTTGAAATTTTAGAAAATTGTCTAAAACAAAAATGGCTGTCATAAAAAGGAAAATAGATCGCTTTTCAATTAAGTTTTTTTCATTTCTTTCTTTTTCTCTTAATGACATCAAATTTTCAAAATTGTACCATTTAGAGCAGTATATACAGGGTGGGCCAAAAAAACGCCACTTTTTTTCAAAATGCTATAACTTTTTTTAATTTTTGATACAAAGTCATAAATCGCATACAAAATGAGACTTGAGGTTGTTATCTAGCCATGGATCATGAATTCTACACTTTTGCTTGAATAAGATATGTTACCAGCGTCTCACTTAATCATGTGGTGTGCCATGAGAAAAAAGCATAATTTGCAAAATGTTCCTGAACTGTTTCACCCTGATGTCCACCAAGCTAATAGCCCTAATGCAAACCCCAGTGAGTATAGTGTATGGGAAGTTCTCCAGGAGATGGTATGAAGGCACCCAATCTAAAAAATTGCTCAACGAAAGCTGGCAATTAAGACACGTTGAAAAAATATAGCTAACATTTCATTGATATTGCTATATCAGCAAAGCGTCTAAAACTAAAATCTATCATCAAATAGGGTGGCGGACCAATAGAACTCCTCTTTTAGATCAAATATAATCCCAGTTGAAGGACTTGTTACATTATATTGTTACTAAGAACCCTTGGCACTATATAACTGCAAAATTTTGGGTATGTAGGTTGGAAAATAAAAAAGTTATGGTGTCTTGAAAAAAAGTGGCGTTTTTTTGGCCCACCCTGTATAAGTATACTCAGACATAAAGTATATCTCATGAATTTCAATTACAGGGACAACGTACATTTGAGTTGATAACGCACATTTCTGATTTTTTTTAATTACAATAAATACTTGAATATTTCTTAATCTCCACCCGTCCTAAATTGTGTAGAATAGAGAAACATATTATCATAAAAATAATCGACACTCTTAGACAACAGGGGAAAAAATTATCAAAGGTAATGTTAAAAACCCAACATTTTCCAACCGATCAATTTTGATGGGTAGATTGACTACGAAAAAAATCGAGCACTGTTCGAAAATCTTTTTATGTTATTAGAAAGTTAAATGTCTTCCTAAACGAATACACACGAAATTAAACATGAAATATTTCAAGTATTCCAAATATCAATTTTTTAAAACCTACACCACACCTGCATCTTCATCTTTGCTTCAAATCGGTTAAATAGTGACATCGTACATCGAAAGTGTTGTCGATGGTTAGGCGTGGTACACAAGAGTTGGACGATTGTAAATGACGATCTTTCTTATCATCATCAATAACAAAAATTACGACTCCTAATAAAATGTGAAATTGAAAACATATTCGGGTGTTATCGTGGATTGTATACAATATCAGTCGATGCAATCAAAATTGAATAGCTAACATGAACATACAAAAGATAATTCAGGCAATAAACAATATGTTTCATTAGCCTTTAAATGTTTTTCAACTTCCAAATCCAAATATTTCAAATTCCAATATATGCACGAGATAACTATACAATTCTAAGTTACAATTTTGGATAATTATTATACAGGGTGGCCCAAAAAGAAATTAAATGATATCTCATTTTCTGCGAGGGCACACCCTGGCACAAATTCACTCAAGAATGTCAATTAGAAAATCTGTCTTTTCTAAAATTAATCCATAATCCGAGTCAGTTTATCTTTGACAAAATTATTTTTAAAAAATGGGTGGATATGACATATTTATGATAATATATGTGAAAGCAAACCAAAAATATTTAAGTTATTTTTTAATTGCTTTCACATATATTATCATTAATATGTCATAAGACAGAAATCCCAATTTTAGAAAATTGTATTTTTGAACATTTTTTGAAAATATCACCGAAAGCATACCTGGACGGAAAACGTGATATCTCTAAATATCAAAGTTGTTGATGCTATACAAGTACACCAATCTTTCTTCTATTCAACACTCTATCTTCAAAAAAATCGTGAAGATTCCTTCATCATTGAGAAAGATATTTCAAATATAGTGGGTGCTTTTGGGTCACCGTGTAATAGTACTTTAAATCATGTGAGATAAAACATTTAGTTGCCAACAATTTAACTCAAATAATTTGGAGGTTTATTTTAATTTTTGTCAGCCATGAGTCAAAAAAATCTTATTTGCGATTCCAATGATGTACTAAAATACAAATTGCTTCATTCATGTAAGCCAAACAATTAATTTATATTCTAAATAAACATAATGCTCAACAAAGCATCGTTTTGGATCTATAAAGATTATTTTATCGTATATCCTTTACATGATGAATGATGAAATGCTATTATATTAGAAAAATACAACCTTGTAAAGAGATACTGGCTTGTGGTTATTCATGTACACAGGCAAATTGACATCGGACCCCGTACAAGCCCGTGCGGAGCTCGTTGAGTCAACGACTCCTGTACAACCTTGTACAGGCCTCGTTACGAGTCTCGTAATCAGTAATTGCTTGTAATTTTCGAGCCTCGTAGGAGCTTGTTATTAGAAGGCCCGTAATCGCTTGTAATTTTCGACCCCGCTCTTGACATTACGTTGCCCGTAACGAGCCCCGTAATAAATCGTAATTTTCGATCCCCGTTCTTGCTCGTACGGTGCCTGTTACGAAGGCCGTAATAGCTCGTAATTTTCGAGCACTTGCCTGTGCGATGCCTGTAACAAGGCCCGTAATGGCTCGTAATTTTCGAGCACTGTACTTGCCCGTATGGGGCTCGTAACGAGGCTCGTAATTGCTTGTTTAACTGATGAACACCTTTTGATCGATGAAATAAAATACAGTATACTGAGAAATTACATTTTAATCATATCTAATTATGAATTAATATGTCTTCAATAATTTCAAAATATTTGCATATCTGTATCAACATGATAAATGATATAAAAGCTAGGAAACAAAATAAGCAGGAGGGTAACCAATAGGAGATACCATATTTCTCTACAAGTGAAGTAAATCTTTTAAAAAAACACTTGCGTGTGTTTTTGGAATAAGTTGAAATGTGATGTAGATACTCGTATATCGTATGTTTTAAAAAATGTTTTGAATTGATTAAACATACAGTGCATGTTGTAACAGATAGATACGTGAATGATGCTGCAAACGAGTCCGATAACGGGCCTAGTACGAGTTGGTACGGGCCTAGAAATTACGAGCCTCATACATACTCGTACGGGCCTCGAAAACAACAATTACGAGCATCGTACGAGCTCGTACGGGCCTCAAAAACGAGCTTCCTACGAGGCCTTACGATAATCTTGCTCCTTTTTGCCCGTAATGACTCGCATTTCTCGAGGCTCGTTCGAGCTCGTACAGAGCCCGATGTAATTTGCACGTATTCAGTATGCTAGCAAAGCATGCAAATAGAAGCCGAATCCGAAAATCCGGAAGGTTGACTGGCTAAGAGTAGAAATAATTACCTGGTTTGTCCGACGGAAATGTATAGTCATAGCAAAATCAAATCGATATGATATGATCCAATCATATTCGAGGTATCTGGTCAACTCGGACGATAATTAATTGGACCCTAGTCAACTCGACCCTAACTAACTTGAACCCTAGTCAACTCGGACCCTAGTTAACTCGGACCCAGTTAGATTCAAAATAAATATCAGAGACAATTTGCCTTGTAAGATGTGAAAGCAATTAAGTTTCAAAATATTTAGAATAATACCATTACTGAAATCTCGAGATAGGCGTGACTGATTTTCTGGGAAGTATTCAATGTTGGAAGACTGGAAATGTTTTGAGAGCAGGAAACATTGCTGGGAATGAACACAATTAAGCGCATATTGCCAAAATGTTTCATAAGTAACATGTTAGTCAACGGATGACGTTATCTTTTGAAAATTCTAATATCCTGAATACAAACATAACAGTTCGGCCTTTTTGTGGAATTTATGGTAGTGTGGACTGATAGGCCACTGTCTATTTGTGGGATTTGACCATAGCTTTGATGTACGCATATGACCTTTGTTATAATTTACGGATATGACCATAGCTACGATTTACGGATATGCCCATTGCTATGTTTTACAGATATGACCATTGCTATGATTTACGGACATGGCCATTGCTATGAATTACGGATATAACCGTTGCGATGATTTATGAATATGACCATAACTATGATTTAGGGATATGACCATTGCTATGATTTACGGATATGACCATTGCTATGATAATATGGATATAACCATAGCTACGATAATATGGATATGACCATAGCTATGATAATATGGATATGACCATAGCTATGTTTTACGGATTTGACCATTGATATGCTATATGGATATGACCATTGATATGATTAAAGGATATGGCCATTGCTACTATACGATTCACAGATATGAACATTACGATGATTTACGATCTGAACATTGCTTGGTTCTTCGGATGTGAGTTTTTTGTTTTATATTGATTTTGGGGCTAGGTTCACCTCTTTAATCCATACATAATGTTTGAGAGTTCTAGCATATATGTACACCTATAAATCCTGATGACTGAAATGAGCCATTTATAAAGGTTTTAATAAATTCTTGATGATAATCCTTCTTTAGTCGAGTCAAGACAAGATAAAGAAACATTATCAAAGCGAATCAATCTCAATGGGCGACCTTGCACACTGGAACTCATACAAGAAACTCTACTAGTATAGTATTTCTACTGAGTTCCAAGCAATCAAACAACCGAATAGCAGGCTATTATCTTACCCATCACTAAGCCATCGACTAAATAAATAGGCAACCGACGGACTAATCAAACCAACCCAACCGAGAAACTAACAAGCCAACAAAGCAAACAATCAAACATAAGTTGCTCTCGGTGCATTGGTAGATTAGTTGGTTGATTGATTGCTTGGTTGGTGGCTTGCTTGCTTGATTGGTTGGTTGGATTGCTGGTGTGTTAAGTTGGATGTCAGTTGAATGGATAGTTGGCTGCTTGAACTGGTGGTTGGTTGGGTCGTTGACATCTGTACGATACACGGTTTTATAACATACCTATGATAATGTATAGTGCAAAGTGTACACAAGACAGCCGGCCAATATAAGTTTTGAAGAGCCCGCGCCCGCTAACTTTCTGATTGGTCAAGGCGCTGACGTCATAACCAATCAATCGAAGATAAAACTGCACGAGCAATTTTTCTAAACTCATTTCAATCATTTTCAAACCATTTGTTTGTCAATTCTATAAGAAAACGGTACTCTCTGACCAGTCTACATCATCATAGGTATGTTATAAATCGTTTATGTCACTATCGTGGCACATATGCCCTCGGTACTCAGCATGGGCTCTACCACCTGATAGAGCCCATGGTACTCAGAGATCAATGTCCCTCCCAAGGTCGGGCCATATATCACTGAGACCTCGGGCATATATGCCACGATAGTGACATAACCTCTAAATATATGATATTGCTTCAAAATTCCCTCAACATACTATTATATTGAAACATGGACTGGAAACTCGATTGAATCAATAATTGGCAAATTCTTTAATTTAGTTTAGATTTCAATCCATTTGATGGACTAGGATCTCTGAACCATTCGTCTTCTCAAATATACCATCTTATACTTTATTAACCAGTTAACACTGTTTAGGGGGTTCTCTTTGGTTTTAATAGTATAATTAGACTCCAGATTGAAAATCTGGAGTCTATTGCTTTTGCCAGTTTTCTTATTATTTTTTTTCTTATTCTTCCTCCTTACAAGATTTCTCACCAACTAGAAGAACTTACTTTAAGCTGCTTACATGATCAACTAGGGAATGTATCTGGGATTATGGGAAATTAGGTCAAATTTTTATCTAGGTCAAAGGTCAAGAACTAGGTCAAATCCAGTACTTTGTCACTTTTTCCCATTATCTCGGTCGTCCTTCAATATTTTTGATCTGGTTTTTTTTCATTGTGTTCCTCATAAAAAAGTAGAAAAGCTAGGATCGATTTAGTTTTTTGGTATCTCAAACCGATTTCGACATATCAGTGTCCGAAAACGAGGTCCAAAAAAAAATTCTCCGAATCCAATGTCAAGGATTTCAGTCTTATAGGAAATATTCTCAGGATTCCGAATCTGAAAACCAAATTTCGATCTCACTTCCGGTTCAGAAGTTATGGCGTTTTGAAAATTCAAAAATCGTTAAATTTGGTGCCCCATGTTAATTCAATGGGAAAAAATATTTTTTGAAGTGTAAAATACGAGATATAGACTAAGCACAGCTAGACATAATGGAAGCCCATAAAAGAAAGGGACCTCAAGACCTTCTTTTCATAAAATTTTGGACACCAAAATGCCTAGGTCAAAATCTAGGTCAAATTCAAAGTTTTTCCTTATTTTTGCGATTCTGACACTACAGATTAATTATATTCTTTGAAATTTTGTATACATGTAGCCAAGAGTGTGCTTATAGTGTTAGCCTTTTGCCGTCAGAAAGTATTTTGACCCACTTTTGAGATATGGTGTCCGAAAAGTAGGTCAAAATAAAAATTTCTCCAAACTCAACGTTTGAGTTATGAATTAAGGATAGAATTTTCTCAGGAATCCGAATCTGCAAACCAAATTTCAACCCGACTTCCCGTTCGGAAGTTATGGCGTTTTGAAATTTCGAGAAAAATCGATCTGATGGTATCCTGATAGAAAGTCAAGGAAAAAAGATTTTTTTGAAGAGTAAAATACTAGATATAGACTGAGTACAGCTTAAGATAATGAATTCCTATAAAAGAAGGGGACCTCAATAAGCTACCTAGTTTCAATATTTGGACACCAAAATGCCTAGGTCAAAATCTAGGTCAAATTCATAGTTTTTCCTTATTTTTACGATTCTGGCACTACACTTTTAGGATTTGCTTCAAAATTTTGTATACAGGTAGGAAAGAGTGTCCTAATAGTGATAGCCTTTTGCCGTCAGAAAGTATTTTGACCCATTTTTGAGATATGGCGTCCTAAAAGTGGATCAAAATAAAAAAATCTCCAAATTTAATGTATGAGTTATGAAATAAGGGTAGAATTTTCCCAGGAATCTGAATCTGCAAACTAAATTTCAATCCGACTTTCGGTCAAAAATTCCTACTTACCTACCTACCTACATACCTACTCGGCTACCTACTTAGCTACCTACTTCTCGGCTACCTACTCAGCTACTTACTCAGCTACCTACTCAGCTGCTTACTCAGCTTCCTTCTCAGCTACTCACTCAATTACTTAATCATCTACTTACTCAGCTTGCTACTCAGTTACCTACTCAGCTACCTACTCAAGTAAATCAATCTGGAGTCTTAAATTGAACTTTGTTCAATTTACCATTCTAGTTAACTATACTTTTTATGAAAGTGTCTGTTAATGACTCCCATTGTATTATTGGCTGGATTAAAATGATAACGTCTGCGAATTATGAAAGAGAACAGGATCCGCTCAAGCACCTAGTGTTCAACATTCAAGTGAAACTATATTCATTACCTTCATTAGTGTCAAAATACATAGGTGAAAATGAGAAATGTCGTCAATTGTAACATCTGTGTGAATATAATTACCTCGTTGGTTCTTCTCTAATTTAAATTCCCTTGTGTAATTCGTATGTGCAATTTGCACATTTGCTTGTAATGTAAACGCATCATTTCTGTAGCATAATTTTATGGAAATCTCCATTCATGAGTTGACAAAATTTCGCAATGGAAAATAATTGATACTCAATAAGTGTTTATTCAATTACATGGAACACACATGCAAACGTTTTTACTTGGTTAAATATTATGAAAATATACATTGGTTTTGATACATATACGGAGTGAGCAATAAAAATTGGACACTGCAATCATTCTAAAAAATATTTAATACTACATAACTAAACTATGTGTAGCATACAAAACGATGGGGAAGAATAAGATGTATTCATATGTCACATTTTTGAATTCTGTAGGAGTCATGATAAATTTAGTTTGTGATGTCACAATTTGCCAAAAACAGATTTTTTGCCAATTTAAAATGAAGAAATCTGTAAGAGAAGGTGTCCAATATGTCCGCCTTTATCAGGAATAATAGCTCTCGATCTATACTAGTAAAACGTACATAATTTCCATTATGTATGCCATCATTTTTTGAAGCTACTATTCTTGAGTTATTTTATCCTCAGTTTGTTTCAATTTATTGATGTTAACAAGTTTATCTTTATGAGCTAGTCCCATTTCAGCACTAAATCCCTCATTTTTGGGATTTTCCAGAATTTTTATGATATGCCAGGTAAATATTCAAAAAACACATTAAGAAGTCACAATATTGATAAAACGTTATTTTAATATACAGAACACTGCCAGGCTGCAAATCAAAATGATTAATATGACGAGAAGTAAAATGATTAATTAGTAGTGAAAATAATGAATTTTACCTAAAATCATTGACATTTACAAATTCTTTACAATTTCAATAGCTGTTTTTGGCGGACATGCACCACATTTCTTGTGTCAAGCGAAAAATAATGAAATATGCATAATTGACTGACTTCTAATCGAATACATACATCCACAAATGTCAAAATTTGGTTCATACACACTCATTTGAATAGAATATATGTGAGTGCCCCATTTTTATTTACCCACCCTTTATATGTAATCAAATACAGAGGTTTGTGGTATAACAAGGCTTCACAGTTTGCCCCCATTTCCAGGATAATTGCCCATCAATGTATAGATACAAAGTGCAGATACATTCAGTAAACTAATGGAATTTATGACGTCATCAATATTGATCATAATTTTAAGAATAGGGAGTAATTTAACTTGTTTTTGTTTTAAGTTGGCATTATGAATAGCTTCTTTGTATCACATCTTTATGATATGGAGACCCATTATTCAAGAGCCCAAATACGTCCAATAAGAAGTAGAACTGTTGTAGTTTTTCTTAATCTCTAGAATTGAACGTCATTGAGTGGAGTTGACTTAGGGTTGAGATGACCTGTCACTAAATACTGTACAAATTAGAAACTGAATTAATATAGCACGTTGAATATTAATCAATTTTGTTTATTTAAATTCAAGTTGATATACACAAAACGTCTTTACATTTTATGGTTAAAATATAATGAGTGATAAAGTATGCAAACGTATATTTCATAACATTTGCAATACACAAGGATTCGTACATTTATGAAAGAGAAGTTTAATATTTGATCTATATTGCAATCAGATCAACAGTAAATTTGTGTGATCCTTGAACTTCCTCAGTTTTTAGTTTGTTTCTTTCCTAATTAGCATTAACAAAGATACGTTGAAAAATTCCGTTTACTTTGAGCCTATGTCACATTTATTCTACGGCGAGCGTACGGTTGCCGTGCATATAGGTTCACAAAATAGATATAGATCAACATCATACTGTTTATGCCATATTTTATATTGCATATTTCTCTAGATTTTGGAAAGCTACGGCCACCGTGTGGTTACCGTAGTTTAAATGTGACTAAGGCATTTGTTATAAATGGTTTATTCTGCCAACAGAATAGCTTTCGATACATGTACAGGGCGATCCAGAAGTAACATCAAAGGTGTTGCCATTTCAATACTAAGTTACTTGACTAATCATCTCGAAACTTGGTACACATATTCCCCAAGCATAACTGAGTTAATATTGATTGGTTCATTTTATGTTTGCTATGGTAACCCACTGTGACGTCACCCATAGTACCATGAAATAAACGAATCAAATGGTAGACGCCTTATCTTTGAGATATCGACTCAGCATTGACGTTACTTCTAGATCACCATGTACTTGAATACCTAAAGTAGTTAACATGTACAACACAAACATTTATGAATTGATACACAGTTTACTTTTGATAGTAGCATAGAGTTCATACGACAACTGATTTTTGATACAGGTTCTTCAATAGTGTTTATTGATATGTTTCTTTTCTAATAGAACCATACACATGCATTAATCGAAAAACATTTTACTAGGCCTAATCCAGAGTAAATTACACTTTATAATATTATACTATTATCTGAACAAAATTTATATCTCTCAGATCTACAGTGGTTTGCAGTTTTGCACAGTTTTAATACAGAAATATATATATTTAAAGAAAGGCGGTCTATTTTAAAAATATGAAGTGTATTTTGCTCACAGAACTACATGTGAATGTTTTATAGTTAACAAGGAAATCAATCAATGTGATTTTCGTTACCCCAACATCATTTTCTAACATTATACTGATAGTATTTTTTTGGACATTGTGAAATAGGACTAGTAAATAAAAATAACTTTTATGATTGCAACATTGAATAAAATATAAATCATGAATCCCTACTTCAACTGCTTTCATCTTTTATTCAGGTCACTACCGCTAATCATCAACGATCATACAATTGGTTTTCCTCATCTCCACAAGAATAACTAAATCAGCCAACTGATCATGATCTCATTCAAACTAGAACTATGCTCTTTCTTCCTTTCACTAACCAACTCAAGTCCAACCATTCACCATTTCACTCGCATTTTCATCAATCTAGGTCAGTAAAACTGGTTCACCAAGTAGCATGTAGTTTGACTTGACAAACAATCATTAAAGTACTACACTTTCTTGGTATTTTCATCGACTCAAAAATGTTTGCATGTCTAAACACCTCGATCTACAGTTAATGTAGCTCTTTTCTAACGAAGGGTTTTTAGTCTCTACTAAAAGACTCCTTTTTATTCTCCAACTTCGAACACGCATAAATGTTTATTTCTCTGTTAAAACATAGCTCTTCGGTAATACATATACCGATGATGATAAACATCATAACTAGTGATTCAGTCAGTTTTAGTACTCCAAGGGTATTAATACGTTTTTGGCAACAATAGGTGCCAACAATATTATTTTTCTATTCTATTTATATATTATTTTCTCAAGATTCACAACCTATAAGAACCAATCATCCTCTACATCCTCCATATCATCAAAATCACTGCAATCACTAGCGTCCATCACGACCTCATACTGTGGCCAGGAAAACACAACAGAATTATCTGAATCAGAATCAGCCGTATCTGGATTTACTTCCATATTTTCAATGTGACTTGTATCGTCGGCGGCATTAAATTCTTCTGATAGTTCTGAGTTGCTAATTCCAGTTACGATATTTTCATCAACAATGTCGCTCATTTCGTCATTTTCACCATCCGTGTCATTATGAACAAATTCAGTATCACTTTCGTAACTAGATACACTCGCATCATCGGGCTGGGCGTCATCCACATCACTAGCATCCTCTTTAATATCACTGCATGTATCTTCATCTGGTGGAAATAAAGCCTCTGCTGCATCCATTGTATGTAGGCATCCCATACTACTGATATAAACCTTTAATTTTCGAGGTGTTATTAGGCGTCTCATGTCACCAATACACGTCACAATTGATCTTGCAGCACGTGCTGAATACTTGTGTAGCCAGGTGGATTTCATGAGTGTATTAGTTCGCTCGCACTCTCGACGCAAAAAGGATGCTTCTGGTTCTGATTTTATCCTAAACATGAGATCCTGCGCACAATTAAAGCACTCGTACCTTAGGAATAAATCATAGAGAATTACTCTTTCAGATGATGAAAAGTAGTCAAAGCATTCGATAAACATGTCTCTTAGATGAGCATCCACATTGCAAAGCTCGAAGCTTGCTCCTTGAGTTAGTAGGTATTCGTATATTATATAAGTCTGACTAAAGCGACTGCGATCAACTTTAGTAACGAATATAGCTGTTTTACCGTTCTTATCCTCAGCTTTTATGCTTGCCCCAGCATTGAGTAATGTAGAACAACATGTATCACAACCTCTCATACACGCATACATTAGTGGTGTTATGCCATCTATATCACATGCACTCACATTTGCTCCTCCCTTCAATAGAGTCTTCACACACTCACACTGATTGTACCAACAAGCATACATCAAGGCTGTCTTTCCATCTACGTCGGTATCATCCACTTTCTCACCCAACTCCAGCATTTTCTGTAGAAGTTCACAATAAGGATGTTTGGCGAAGTCCATGAGAAGTGTGGTCACATGAGAATCATTTCTCTTTTTTTGTCTGTCCTTCAGCACTTTCCTGCACTTTTCAAACGCTGATTTCCAGGTTTCAATCGAACTTTTATCAACATCTGCGAGATTTTCAAGCAGAACAGCTATGCATTCGTGGTTGTAATGGGATACTGCCAGAGTTAATGCTGTTTGATCGTCTTTATCAACAATGTTGACGCCGATCTGGGTTTCAATCAAGAACGTTGCGCATGCAGTTGTCCTAGTTAATTCAATTTCTCGGCCGAGTACAGTTAAAATCGATTGTCGTAAGAATCCTTGGCCGGAATTCCATGACTTTATATCGGCAGCTATATCAATACATGTCTGTATTGAAAGCATCAATGCAGTTCGTCCTGCATTGTTCTGATAATCTGATTTAGCTCCACATCTAGTCAAGGCTTTTGCAAAGATAAGATGCCCTTGCATGGCAGCATACATCAAAGCAGTCATTCCATTCTTATCAGTCATGTTCACATCAGCACCACACTCTACCAACTGTTGTATACATTCACCCTTACCTTTCTTGGCAGCATACATCAAAGCAGTCATTCCATTTTTATCATTCATGTTCACATCAGCACCACACTCTACCAACTGTTGTATACATTCACCCTTACCTTTCTTGGCAGCATACATTAGAGCAGTCATTTCATTCTTGCCATTTATGTTAACATTAGCACCACACTCAAGCAATTGTTTTATACATTCACTCTTACACTCCTTGATACCATGTATTAAAGCAGTCATACCATTCTTGTCATTCATATTAACATCAGAACCCAAATCTACCAACTGCCTGATGAAGTTACCCGTACCAAACTTGGCATCATACATTAAAACATTCATGCCATTATTGTCATTTATGTTAACATCAGCACCACATTCTAGCAAATGTTTTATGCAATCGTCCTTACCCTCTCTGGCAGCATACATTAAAGCAGTCATCCCATTATTGTCAATCATGTTCATATCATCACCACACTCTATCAACTGTTTGATGCATTTACCATAACCCTCCTTGGCAGCATGCATTAAACCAGTCATTCCATTATTGTCATTCATGTTTACATCAGCACAACACTTCATCAACTGCTGTATACACCCATCCTTGCCCTCATTGGAAGCATGTATTAAAGCTGTCATACCACACTTGTCATTCTTGTTAACATCAGCACCATACTCTACCAACTGCTTTATACATTCTCCCTTACCTTTCTTGGCAGCATAGATCAAAGCATTCATTTCATTCTTGTCATCCATGTTAACATCAGCACCAAATTCCATCAACTGCTGTATACTTTCACCCTCATTACCACTGGCAGCATGCATTAAAGCAGTGATTCCATTTATATTATCCTTCATGTTAACATTAGTACCACACTCTACCAACTGCTTTATACATCCACCCTTACCTTTCTCGGCAGCATACATTAGAGCAGTCATTCCATGCTTGTCATTTATGTTAACATCAGCACCACACTCAAACAATTGCTTTATTATATCACTCTCACTTTCTTTGGCAGCATACATTAAAGAAGTCATTCCATGTTTGTCATTTATGTTAACATCAGCACCGCACACAACCAATTGCTTTACGCATGCACCCTTACCCCACCAGGAGGCATACATCAAAGCGGTCATTCCATTCTCGTCAGCCATGTTCACATCAGCACCGCACTCACATAACTTCTTAATGCATTTACACTTGCCCTCCTTCGCAGCATATGTTAAAGCAGTCTTTCCATTCTTGTCGTTTATGTTCACGTTAGCACCACACTCAAACAACTGCTCTATGCATTCACTCTTACCCTTACTTGCAGCATAAAATAAAGCTGTCATGCCATCAGTGTCAACCATGTTCATATCAGCACCACTCTCAACCAACTGTTTTACACATTCCCCTTTACTCACAATGACAGCCCAGATCAAAGCTGTCTTTTTATAATCGTCTTGTTTATTCACATCAGCGCCACATTCGATTAACGTTTTCACACACTCTCCCTCCCCCCTCATGGCAGCTTCCATTAAAGCAGTAGTTCCTTCACTGTCACCCATCTCCACTTCAGATCCACTCTCCAGTAACAAACAGAGACATTCAAAAACACCTTTCATAGCGGCATACTTAAGTGCAGTACTTGTTCTTAACAAATAATTCTTATACCTAACAGCGTATTCGTATAGACATTTCACTAAACTTGGAGAATGCTTCAGAAATAACTTTAACATTTCACAGTTATTGTCATCAATAGCCTCAAACACACAATCTCTCCCTTCCTGACTGCCGAAATCAACACCAGGATATATTGAGAGAAAGGCTGAGATGTATGGTGCGTGATTTCTCCTCATGTGGACTTGAATCACTTTATAGGGATCCGGGGGATCTGAAAGAACATTCATTATGGCTGTATTACCTAGAATGGTGAACATTTATTGCCCAGTCATATGCGATTCACCTAACATGCGAATCTCTTATTCATCCACCTCATTAAGAATAGAATAGAATTATGTTTACCTGTCATCTTGATTCTTTGATCTGTGATTCTTACGCTGTATACGTGATCGTTATATTTCACTTTTCAGCGTATTATGATAAATGAAATAGAAAAAAAGATCAGAAGTTTTGAAAATAATTCAGTTTACATCGCGACTTGAACACTAAAAAAAAGTACTTGCCTATTTTACTTTTCTTTGGAGATGCGTTATTGTCATGGCCATTTCCATCGCCAGTCTTTTTGCTACGTTTTCTGTAGTAAGGTGCTTCAAAAATAATATAATAATATGCTATAAGTATATATCTACTTTTAATGATGAACATAATTTTTACAATTTAATACTACTTTCAAGATCACTCTCTGATAACTCTGACTTACGTTGATTGACCCATTTGCGTAACAAACTTTTCTCTTAATTTTATATTTGTACATATACAAATGGTTATATATATACACATACATAATATATTATTATTAATATATTATTATATAATAATATATTATTATTATTATATATATACATATACAAAATATATAAATGGTTTTAGAGAGCTAGATGATTAGTGAAATTCCACGATGAAAATTGTTTGTTCTTAATGACACGTAAGATATTATTTAGTGCGTAAATGGTTTTATCGTCCCAGTTAATGTTGTCTGATAGTTTCTAAATCACCACAATGTGTAACCTCTAACCTCTTGATTCCCAGGCTTTAAAATCGGTTGAAACTAGGGAATTTTTCATTTTGCCACCCTTTGTCATTTGCCTACATACCTATACAACTTCTGATGCTGAACTTAATAGAATTAGATGGTGGAGATCATTTCTACACATTTTAAAACAATTTTTGTGTAAATTGGATGAAAATAGTTCAAATAAGAGCAATTTTAGTGAAAAAATTGTCACTCTGGGTTTCAAGGTCATTTCTGAGTCACTCCAAGTACATGTCATTAATTATTTGGTCACTATATGTCCGTGCTATTTTGTACTCTATGATTGTTCGGTAAATGAACATTGTTTGGTTCTAAAGTATATTTGTATTTGATGCGTGTTCTAAATATATGTGTCAACCGTCTTTGTTCGTGTGTGTACATGGACTTAAATATGTGACATTTTACCAAACACTGAATAACATAAACCGTATATGAATATCAGTGGCGTAGCGTTGGTATTTTGTGAGGGTACGCCACGAGTAAGCGAAATAGACGTGCTGTGAGGGGGGTTCGGGTGATGTCCCCCCAAGAAAATTTGAAAATGAGATTGCATTTGAGGCGTTCTGGGGCGTTTGAAATACGAAATTCCGACTATTATGGACGAATATATAATGTAAATTATTAGCCATTTTTATCAATTTTTGAAGTGTTGGGCAAATCAATATAAAAAATAAACTGTTTTATAAATTTTGAGAGTACGCCATGGCGTTTTATGCGTATATGACGCTACGCCATTGAATATGAATCTTGTTCAAATTCTTTTTCCTCGCTTGTTTCATCCATTTTGAAATAATTTCTACGTCACTGGTCACGTGATTTACCGAATGGTTTAATGCTACATGCAGCATGTGTCATTTGTGTGGGGTAAGTCACGTCATTATTATTATTCATTTATTAACCTGTATTTAAACAGAGTAGTACAAAACATATAATATACAGTTATGGTGGATCGAAACATATTTACAGTTTAGTGACACCTTGTTAATTACAAGAGATCAGATGCATCTATAGTGTGTTTCACTAGTATGTTAATTGCCAGCATATTGGCTGATGAGCTTTGCTCTTTTGATATACATTACATGGATGATGTTCGAAATACCAGCCATGTCTGAATAAGTGACGTTGCCATTAAAATTAAATATGATATTCTTATTGTCCGTCAAGCCATTGCCACTGTACTTGTCAAATATTTTCGCTAATTTGATGCGTTCATCAGAAAAATTCGTACACGAAAATAAAAAATGATCCAGAGTTTCAATCTCAAACATGTCACAAAGGAAGCAGGTGCTATTAATACCATCATTTTTTACTCTAAAATCGTGACTGTCCGTCGCTAGGCGCATCATGGTTTTGCATTGAGCAAGTAATTCCGGCTTCATCTTCGCCAAGGTCCACCAGACACACGGTCTCAAGGGCCCTGTTGCCCCATCCTTTACGTCACATATGTTAAGGCAGACGTCATGACGCCTATACGTGTTACATGTAGTCCTGTATATGGCTCTTTGTTTATCATTTACTTCAAGTTTAATGAATCTTTTCCATGATCCTTTAGTTAAGTAGATGCCATTAACAATCATGTTAGTTAGCAGTTCTGTCAGGTTATATTTTCTAACTCGATCCCACATTTGTCGTATTGGGGAATCCCAAGTGGTCTCCTTAAAGAAGATGATCGGTATTAATCTGGTTATAGTAAATTGTTTGTATATATTCGAAATTGGAAGAGTAAGTAGTCCAAACAACATCAGTAACATATCGTAATCAATTCTAAGTGACATGGAGTTCATTCCTAATGGCATAGTTGCGGATGGATTGCTACTGTGAACTGGGAGAGATTGCAATCTTCTTCCTATCTGCCTCTGTGCTACTTCTAGCATTTCTACGTCACTTGGCTTGTAGTTTATCAATTGGTCTCCATACAACATCGTGGGAATACTATAACTGTTGTACAGCTTTGTTGCTACTAGCGGTGACAGTCCACCTGTCTTGTGCCCAAGACCAAAGAGTGAGAATAGTTTCCTCTTTCCATTAACGATGGCCTCTTTAACGTGTCCTGAATAATTGTTCATTGTGGAAAGGGGGATTCCCACATGTTTAGCTTTCGTAACGTTGGATAAAGTTTTTGTGCCTAACTTGTATGATGATTGTTGAACATTGTCCCCATAAGTTAACACCACACATTTACCTGGGTGCAGTGTGTAACGCCATCTGTTGCTGTGTTTGTACGATATGTCTAGCATTGTGCTCATGGCTCCTGGAAATAAGGCAATGAGTGCTATATCGTCCGCGTATGCAGGTGAGCATGTATTCATACCCATGCATTTGGCTCCTAAATTACATGTCTCCAGTTCTTGTAATAAGTCACAGATGAAGAACTGGTACAAAAGCATACTATTGACAGCTCCCTGAAAAACGCCCTGTGCCACCTCAAATGGCTCGGAGACGTCACCGGCGGCAAGAACAGAGCATCTGTAATTCTTGTATGAATCATAAAGTATCCTCCAGAGCTTTCCACGTATCCCTGCTTTGTAGTATAACTTGTAGAAAAGACCATTAATCCAACAGGTATCAAAAGCAGATTTTATATCAAGTAGAGAAACGATCACTTTGCTGTCTTTGGTTATATTATATGCAATGGTTTCGTGGAGTAGTAGTGAGGTGTGTAGCGAGGAGCACCCCTCCAACGCTGCGCCTTGTAGCTGAGGGATTTTAGACGTAATCTTCTCTTTATAGCGGGCTAATAGAACGTTGTCATACAACTTCCTAATAACGGACATAAGAGTTATTCCTCTGTGATCCATGGTATCTAATATATCGCGCACGCCACCTTTTATCAGTGGTATTATGATCCCTGATCTAAAGTTGATCGGTGTATATTCATTCAATATCATATTTTGGAAAATACACAATAGCACTCTCAAAATACTCTGTCCACTGTGTCTTATATGTTCGACTGTAATATTGTCATGGCCACTTGCTTTCCCAGATTTCATTTTTCCTAAAGCTGCGCTTACTTCCTCAAACGTTATAGGTGCCTTAAGCAACTCATTATCATTGTCTTTGGATGAGATATTTAATATGTTCATCACTTCACTATCCACTTGTTCTTTGTGAGCACTATCAAAAAGTGGATTTTCAGAGGGTGTGGCTAGAGACATGAAATGGTCGCGCCAAACTGAGCGAACAACCCTCGGTTCGGTGACTATTTTACCATCCGTATTCCTTATAGCGCAGGGTGTTCGTTTGGTGTGGCCCCTGCTGCGCTGCAAGAGATGCCAGAAAAAACGCTGGTCCAAACATTCAGATTCGTACAATTTATTCATTTCGTCCTTTTCATATTCCAACTCAGCTAAATAAAATGATTTAGAAAATGCTCTTTTTGCTGCCTTGTATTCGTTGTACGCTACTCCTGTTCTGGGTTTGCCGGCGAGTCTCCAAATGTGCCACAACCTATTGCGATTTTTAACTAAGACAGTCAAGTGAGGTGCCCAAAATGGCTTTTGATGTTTTTTGAACTTTTTTACAGGAAGGACACCTTTTGCCACTGTGTGCATGTTTGAGATGATAATGTGTAAGTAGTGATCAATGTCATCATTAGATAAAATGCCTCCTTTAGTACCCATTTCCATGAGTATACCTTCCATCATTACATTTATGTTAAAACCATAACTCATCAACATAGAATAAGAGGCTTTTTCCCAAGCTACACGTTCGAACTGCCTAGTCGAATCTTTAGTTTTACATACATCCAATAAACAGTTGAGTGTTACTTCAACAGGAAGATGATCAGAAGATGTGCAGAAATCAGCACAGTTATCAATTATTCTACAATGTTTCACATTTTCTAAAATTTCATTAGAAACGATGACATGATCAATATATGATTTATGTCCGCAAGGTGATTCGAACGTGTAGTTTGGACCCTTACATTCCATTAAGTCAGCTATTATCAAGCCATTACGTGAACAGAAATTTTGAAACATTATACCATTGGGTGTTCCATCGCCCCAGCTCCTCTTACAATTATACATGTTATAAGGTAAATGAGCATTCATGTCTCCCATTAGTAATACATGACCTTCATTTAAGGCTTTCTTCACATTGACCTCAAGTTCAAGCAAAATATCAACAAAGTTGTCAATTTTACACTGTTGCTGTGGTAAGTAGAGAGAGAATATAAAAATTGGATCTGACTCATTGTCATGATTTTATGCGGATCGTACGGATTCACGGCCCTTGGAGTGATTCATATTCACAATTCATAGAGGAAATTGAGAAGTTATTAGATCATTGCAGCATGAGGCTACAAGCAATCCTTTCTTAATAGAAGATACGTATTCGCGATTGGAGAATCACACCAGAGCTCTTAGAATATATAGATGGCGCAAATCACGTGACCGAAATCACGTGACCTACCCCACATCAAAACAGTGAACATTGGTGCAAGGAGGATTGGCTCCCAGAGTGCAACATCGATATTCTGTCCCATATATGGAAATGTCGTGATTCAAAATTTGAATTCAAACAGCCACCATTTTGTTCACTTCAACATTTGAATCGTGAATTTTGGTCTTATTGAAGAATGAAAAATTCCAAAACTCACAAGAAATGATCGAGATATTGGTTCGAATTTTTTGGACTGTTTATTTTAAATTTATCGTCGGTAATAATTTCAGAAAATAACGACATTTCGACGTTTTCATTGTTGGAAAATATCGATAGCCGATCCTGGGAGCCAATCCTCCTTGACATTGGTGTATATAAAATAATTCGGTAAGTCACGTGACTTACACCACGAATGAATATGTTTACCACAAATGAATATGTTTATCCAACACGAATGGTACTTGGCATCGCATATATTTAAAATACTTATAATAATATAAATTTGATCGTGTCGAATACAGTTTTGAAGCATCTTACATATTTGTTTTGTAAGACAGTCAATTATATGTGGGATAGTTGGTACCATTTGTTGTAACTTGTTTTGTTTATGTTCGATTTAACTTACTCCGTGGGGTAAAAACCGAAGATATTGATGTTACGAATATTGATGCAATAAATACACTATATTTATCACTATCATGTACATATGTTTATATGATTTTAATAAATAAATCAAAAACAGCAAGAAATTGTGAAAATAAGTTATCATCTGCATTAATCTTGAAATAAGGCTGTTCTGAAAGTCATAAAAACGCCCACCATTTTCAGCGTTCAAGGTGTCACAATCTTGAATAACTGGTCAAAGTCAAAACTGAAATGAAGTAAAAAACGACGCTTAATGTATATATTTCTCGTCTCAAGAGTCCGAAAGTCGGGATCAAGGAATTTAAAATCGATAATCATCTTGGTAAAAATACGATCGTCTTACTTATTTTTCTAGGAGAAACATTTAGAGCTACAGCATTGACATCCTGTTCCATGGGGCTTGCAACTTGTAAACTGGAGCCTTGGTTTGGTTCCATAGGGTTTACGTTTTGTGTAATTGAACCATTTGCTGGTACCATGGGGATTGCGTCCTGTGCACTGAAATCCTCCACTTGCTCGATGGTTCGTTCACCTTGTTCCATGAGGCTAGCGTTCGTACTGGAACCCACGATTGCTTCGATAGGATGAACGTTTTCTATATCATAACCTTCACATGATGTATCAACTAAAAGAAAGGTATTTGGAGTTTCGCTTGAACCCACACCAATCGATAAAAGTAGAGATTTAAATTATTGATATTGGGACACTACATGTAGATCTTGAAATATCGTTTTATTTTAAAGAAAATTGACATTTGTTTTCTTAAAATGGAGAGAGAGAGAGAGATATATGCATGCATCAACAACCAAGGCAATTTTTGGAACGATCTCAAAGAATTCGAATATCGCAATATACAAATGTAAAACCTCGTACCTTGTACCACAGAGCTTTTATCTATTTTACTCGAACGTTCGCCTTCTTCAACTTCCTCGAAGTCAGTACTTAAACCTTCAATGTACGTCAGAGCAGGGCTATCATCGTTGGTACTCGAACCTTGACCTTCTACCCCACGGTGTTCTCGATTTGGGCATGGATATTCATTTAAATCACCTTCAAGCAAAACAACACGTACCAATGTCTAGCCTTGTAAATATTAATGGTTGAAAGACAATTAAACGTAAACATTTTCAATAAATTAATGTTGAATTCTTGAAAATATTAATTGAAAATACATTGTTGAAATGATGCACTGTGTCTAAATAACATTTGATACCCTTCTGGTGTATTTCGATTACATGTTAAATTTCTAACTCCTAAATCTATATATAGCACTTAAATCTTAAATTACCATCATGTGGGATGATTAAGGTTTTTGGGTGATATTCCGCCTTAAAGTTCTAATGCAAAGTTTGATACGACTGTTTAACCTTGAAAATATATATTATTAAAAGTTGTTTTAGAAGGCAACCTTGTGTGACCCCAATTTAGAGAGAAAAGCCCCTGTTTCTATCATAATGCAATATATTTTATTAATGAGGGACATCAGTTCTTTCAAACGGTATGTTTATTTTTTTGTGGCGGAGTGCCGGTGTGAAAGAAATGATGGTCCCCCAGGGATTATGGTCCTCTTTCTTAACGGCCCTTACTGGCCCTGATTGCGTATAAGATAATGAGGGAAAGAGTTGTATTTAGGTCACCATATAAATCAATGGGGAGTAGGACCATAATTTGATAGGACCTCCTACCCTTTTACACCTGGACTATACTACTCATTTACACTTTTTAAGTTTCAATTGTAATTTGGATTTCTTCCAAATTAGTATTTGGCACTTACACTCTGTAAATCCTAGAATATTTATAAAAGAAAAAATGAAAGTCTAAGCTTGTTGCTAAACCAGTTGAAAACACAGCAAATTAAAAATTCAACTTATTTAAAAACAATTTCCAAAACTTGAAAATAATATTCTCTACGTTTTACCACATAACTGCATTATAAGTATGATATCAATTAATTTTGATAAAAAGGAAGTACTTTAGATTAAAAGAGAATATAGAATTTGAAAAATGTCAATAAAATGGTCGCAACAGGGAGCAAAAGTCTGCAATAGTAAAAATCTACATGGCGCAATGTTTGTGTTTGCTTCAAAAAGGTAATGTGGCATGTAGGGTGACAAAAACTGAACCCAAATAAATATCTATGGTGGCTTTGGAATATGATGATATCCCTATCTAAAGTCGATACTGCATATATCCCCATGTTAAGTCAATAAAGTCTAAAGTCTTGCCTAAATCCTCATTTTTTAAATGAAAACCCCTGTTTCCCGAAAAATGTACCATAACCCAGGGTGAGGCATATATGTAGGAAAACTATGCGGTAGATGTTTTTTGTGGCGGACACCCGGACAACCAACTCCTTATTTAGAGCTCTTAGAAAAATCATCCAAGGACTAGTAGTCTTGCTTCAAGACTGTGGACCTTACTCCTATTTAAACAAAACATGAGTAGATTATCCAGGGTCTTGCAGCAAGACTAGTAAATGAGGAGTGTTCCTTGAAACAGCTAGGGCTTGAGCACCGGCACGTTCAGGCTAGGCGATTGGGGCCGTAACCACGAGGTTGCGAGTTCGAGACGCGTGTGCTCCTTGTGTTTATTCATTAGTATTCGAACTCGATCCCCCGTTGCCTGGCGTGGATCAATTGAGTAATAATATATCTAGAAAGTTCATTTTGGGACCAGGTATCATACACTAGTAGCCTGGCCAGAACAAGTCATGCCTCTCTATTTTCTCAATAACTCTCAATTTTAAATATTTTTTCATGAAATTTTCACGGAATAAACTTTAAAGAATTCCTAACATACAAATTTTTTTATATGGTAAATGCCTCGTTAATTTCATTGTTACAACCTTTTAAAAAATAATGTCATATTCTGTTGATGGGTCATTTTTGTCGCCATTTTTTCTAAAAAGAAACGAAAAATCTCGTATTACGTTTTGTCCTAATATGGTCTACAAATTTGATTGCAGTCTTTGATAGGGGATCATTTATCTTTTTTAGTGTTCTAAATTCACCATACTATTTCAAGACCTCATGATCCCAAGCCTCTATACTGCTCGTCCCATAAAAGGCATTACTACTCGCCTATTGTCATACTTGATGGAGATAAAAGATGCTTTCAAATGGCGACAAAAATGACCCATCAACAGAATATGACATTATTTTTTAAAAGGTTGTAACAATGAAATTAATGAGGCATTTGCCATATAAAAAAATCAGTATGTTAGGAATTCTTTAAAGTTTATTCTGTGAAAATTTCATGAAAAAATATTCAAAATTGAGAAAGTTATTGAGAAAATAGAGAGACATGACTTGTTCTGGCCAGGCTACTATATGTAGCGTACGAGTAATATAGTAATATCTAAACGTCTTTGTCAGTGCGCAGTAGCTAGTCTTCAACATATGGAACTGGTTACCAAATTGTCCCACGCAAAGCAACGAAGGATCGAGTTTGAATAATAGCTGCCAATCCTCCTTGTTGAAATGAAAAGTGCATTACTTCACTTCCGGTCCCAGCTGTATTAAAAATGTGCGTGAAATAAAATTATCATCAGTCAAGCTCATTATTTTTTTTTGACGTTTCTGATATTGAATTTTATATTTTACATATAAAATGATTAAAGTAAATGTTCTTTATCTCTTTTTAGCTCCCACCATTTTCAAATAAGGTAATAAAAACAACGGTTGGGTAAATTAATACCTGCTTCAACTGAGCCAATATCTGTTCTCTCGGAATTTGTTCCTTCGCTTTCCTTTTTCCCAGGTACATTTTCCTCCATTTTCTCAATCGAACGGAAAATGAATGCTTTAACACTATTGCATCACATCGTGTTTGTATTGCGCAAACAAACTAAAATGTTGTCTCTGATCATGGTCCAATGTCTAAGATAATTAGGTTATCTAACTTCACTTGATTTAAAAAATAACGCAAAACAGTTATCAGAAAACGCGATGATCAAAGTCAAATTTATCAACTTGAGTGTCGTTAAAGTTAGGACATATGCAATAAATTAACCATACTTTATGATATTCTTTCAATTAATCATATATTTAAATTACAAACAATGTATTTACAAAACATAAAGATTGAGATAAAAAAGTTTGAATGTAAGCAATTTAAAATTCAATACATTCCGCATATTCGTCATCATATACCACCTTCCAAAAGTAAGTTTACCAGAAACTTTTATTTGATAGGGTTTTGATTCAATACATTCCTGTTAGATTTTTATACATTTGAGAGAATTCGTTATTCGTGAAACGTGCATGTAACTCCTTAAAGGTAACATAATTTTATAAGACTGTACTGTTAATCGAAATCCCAAAGTTATACCTTCACACTACCCTACCTCGATAGCGCATGCGCGAATTTTTTGGCTTTCAATCAGGTCGCTTTTGAGTATATCGACTGCTTAGTGAAAAGGTTAATACGTTTGGTGCTCGTAGTGAGACAATATTGCTATTCGCTGAACTTCAGTCGTGCAATAGTGAAGTTCCAAGTTATATGATAGTTGAAGAAAGAATGTAAATAATATCGTTTTAAATTTTAAAATATTTGATATGTCATAGTACACGGTACACAGCTGCAAAAGTTGATCAATACGGGGTACAAGGAATGTAAATTGTTCAATAGTACAGGGAGCGAGAAAGTAAGCTGATTATACAGACATACTATGTCCCAATCTCATGTATATTTACGTTGCAAACAGTGAAAATAATGCTAAAAAGGCCGCCTGTTGATGCTTTGAGGTGTCATCAATTGTTATTTAATCCAAATAAAGTAAACATTATTTAGTATATTTAGACACGGGCTTTCAGGTCGTATATGCATTTTAGTCATTAAATTAACGAGAACGCTAGATTATATGTGTTACTAGGGTATCAAATTGAAATAAAATAACAAAATTAAATATAAACACGTAAGTGATAAATGACTATCGGCTATCAGGATTAATGACTATCCGCTATTCAGAATAATTAAAATTGCGTGAACTACATGTAAAGAATCTTTCTATATAACCCCTTGAATGGTCTAATTCACTACCGTCCTCAAAAACCGATCATTTAAAATAGTTTGTTCAAAATACCATCATGACACGACATTTTGTTCTTCACGATTTGCTGTAGAGGTAATATGACGTCGTATTTCTCTATTATTGTAAAAAAACTAATACCAGATCGATGTAGTCTTATATGACGTGTTGAATGTCAGATGTTTTTGGATGGTATCTGCTCCAGTGATTTTGCATTTAATCATGAAACGCTCATCACAAGACACTTCGAAACAAACATTATCCTCCTTGTGACAAGAGGAAAAATGTTTCGCAATATGTTATGCCTTACGGCAAAGTAAAGATACATTTCTGGAACAACTTTTTTGCATCTTAAGATTTTAGAAAAACAATTAATTCACAAAAGTACAGTTGAATAACATAATGGAAAACGTATCAACATATAACACGATGACACGCAGTTTAAATAACAGTTTACTGGGGTTTTGTTACATATCAATGTAACATTTTCGAAGGGAAACTTACATGCTCCCTGTACGTTGACAGAATTACTGAAATGTATCGTGTATTGCATTAAGTTTTGCTTCACTGCGCCCACTATTATCTGTCTTTGCCTATAGTGGTTTTTTGCAAACAATATTCTACAAACTGCTTGATGAATCAATTCTATTTCTGGTAGAATACTAAAAATAAATGTAAAATGTGTTTTACGTTCAGAAATATGGAATTAAACCCACGTCCTCCATTTGCAACTTAGCTGCACCCTGTTTCCCTTTTAAACGTGGTCACGTGGTAGGGTAGTGTGACCTTAAAGGGTTCCCATAAGCATCCCGTATAAAAACAATATGGCGGCTCCAGGCGAATCAACTGGATCAGTCCATGTTTAAGAAATAAGGGGAGTTCTGTAAAATCCAGTTTATTGAAATTGTCTTTGAGATAAAGTAATCCGTTTATAATGATTTTGAAAACGTTATCCAAAGAGTGATTGCGTTCAAAGAATACATGTACAATAGCCAATATAAATCCTTGTATTAGAACTGCTTTGTTTCATTTGTAGGATATTTCATATGCCAAGCTGTGTGCTAAATTACGCTATGGGGAAATTTAGATGCCAATTTTTCCTTATTATACACAAAAAGAAGATCCTGAAACTTCACCCATAAATGTGGAATTGATTTGTCAAAATAAAAATCACCCTTTTATAAATGTGTGACGATCTATAATATACCAGGTCGATCAATAAGTTCTGAGAATTTTCCTCTAAAATCAAGAGTTTTGTGGATTTTTATTTGAAATTTTCACAGAACATGTAATATGAATTCAGCAATTAGTGTAAGAAGTTAAATGCACTTTCCACCTATTGGGCCAAAATTATGATTACCATGGTAACTCGTGTTTTGGGTAGGCGGGGCAAGTATTTTTAACGTAAATAAATTTTTTTAACATCAAGCAACAATCTTATGTTTCAACCAAAGCATTGGATTTCAATGAGGATTTTGTTGTTTTTATAACCATCACTATGGTAACAATTTAATATGACATCATAATTCAGGACAAATTACATAATATTACTATTACATCATAATTCCACAACCTCAATGTACCCTGCCAAAATGGCCGCTCCAAAAGATGCTAAAAATTTGGAAGAAAATTAGGAAATGTCAATACAGATGCGCAGTGCCATACGATTTTGCGTGCTTGGTGGCAAAAGTAAACAAGAAACACTCAAGGAGATGTTGGTAGCCTTTCCAGGCAGGATATCCACTAAAACTATTTACAGATGGTATGGCAAATTCCAAAGTGGGAGAACCAGTGTAAAAGATGAAGCAAGGTCAGGAAGGCCACTATCTGTTACAAAGCCCACAAATATAATGAAGCTCAAGACTGTCCTTGATGAAGACAGGCGAATAACAATCAGGGAGTTAAGTGAAAAAGTAAACTTCAGCTATGGAAGGACACAGTACATACTGAAAGAGAAGCTCCATATGAAGCTTGTGTGTTCTAAATGGGTGCCAAAAGATCTAACCATGGACCAGAAGCAGCGCCGGGTCGATGTTGCACAAGACTTCCTCAGACGATACCAAGTAGAGGGGGAGGCTTTCTTGGAGCGCATTATTACTGCTGATGAAGTTTACGTTTCATATTATGAGCCAGAAGGCAAGAGGGCCACAAGTGGATGGAGAACAAAGGACTCCCCTACCCCTATGACGACCATTGCTAAACTCAATCGTAGAGATGGCAAGGTTATGTTCATCATTTTCCTGGATATCTACGGGGTACTCCTGGTGCATGCAGTCGCTGAAGGACAAACCATAAAAAACAAAGACTATTATGCTATGGTAAGTTAGTGTGTGGCTATTGATGGCCTTCAGGATCATGTCTTGCCAGAGAATTTATGTTCACTCTAGTCAAGGTAGTTCAGCTTGAATGTACATGTAGTTTAAATACATCTAGTGAGGGAATGGTGCCCTAAAAATCACTTCTTTTTTCAGGTATTGAAACGTCATCTTAAGCGGGCTATTGCACGAAAACGCCCTGAAACAGAGCTGTCGTCATTACTTAATCATCACGACAATGCCCCGTCCCACACATCTTCGATTGTCAAAAGCACTGTATCTAATGACCTTCAGATGGAACAACTACCCCATGCTCCCTATTCACCAGATGTTGCGATCTGTGATTTTGGTGTGTTTGGACCGATGAAAGATGAGCTGAGAGGATTCAGATATGCGAACTTTACAGACCTCCACAATGCCGTGCAAAATGCCCTGAAAAAACGTTTCCCAGATGGATTTAGGCACTTGTTCCGCCAGTTGGTTCAACGCCAGGAGAGGTGTATTAAGAACCGAGGAAATTACTTTGAACATCTTAATTGAACCCCCTTGACATCTTACTAGGACTATATGACCAACCCTACTGCAGGAAGCAGCTCAGAACTATATTTATAATTGATTTATAAATGATTTATTTACATTTTATGCGCTTTACTTCTGACATTAAAATTATTTGCCCCGCCTACCCAAAACACAAGTTACCATAGTAACCATATTTTTGGTCCAATAAAAGGAAAGTAAGAAAAACTTGGTACACTACCAACTTGACATCTTACTAGGACTATATGACCAACCCTACTGCAGGAAGCAGCTCAGAACTATATTTATAATTGATTTATAAATGATTTATTTACATTTTATGCGCTTTACTTCTGACATTAAAATTATTTGCCCCGCCTACCCAAAACACAAGTTACCATAGTAACCATATTTTTGGTCCAATAAAAGGAAAGTAAGAAAAACTTGGTACACTAATTGCTGAATACATTCTACATATTCTGTGAAAATTTCATTCAAAAAGTCACAAAACTCTTGATTTTAGAGGGAAATTCTCAGAACTTATTGATCGACCTGGTACTTATGCTATATAACAGTTAGAGGTGTTGACACAACGACCTCGAATCTGTGAACCCTTGAGTATTATTCCGGGATCGGGCCTTTTATACTAAACGGTGAGCAACACCAGAAACGAGCATTCGATTTGCTAAACGATATGCGTCACCCTTTAAGGTTTTTAAGTTCGTTCACATTAGGAAATATTTTAGGTAATGAATGACCCGGGTGTTACCTCTTGTCCTCTGACATCACGAGTAGTCATGTGATCTGTATTCAGGGATTTATCATTCTGACAAGCTTTGCACATATATCCTACTCCCCTTGACAGACTGTTACATTTTCGTAAATCTAAATATTGCACATTTATTATATACTAAGTGCAACCACAAACTGCGTTATTTTTATAAATGTAGATTTTATTTCATTACTTTTAGACTAGTCATGCATATATTATTTCATTATGTATTTACAAAGATAAGTTCGTCGGTAACAATATCTATTTACATAATTTTCTTGTAAAGATAAAACGCTTTCATAAAAACAAAATCTAAATAATTGAATAAAATAGGTCTAGTATAATATAATAATAATACAAAGGAAGTTGGTGTTCTTCCTTTGTTTTTTTTACTTCACCTGTTTTTTAAATCTGGTTGTTTTATTTCATAATACAGAACATCTGTAAAAATGATTTATGTGAACTGTATAAAAACTGGTATGTACACTGAATGATATATTACTATAAGTACAGTAGCACTAATATACATTTATATATTGATGGTACCAATATGAATGTTCAATGTTAATTATGAATTGGATATCAATGAATAGGTTGCACATGTTCAGAGAGCCATTTTAATGTGCGTCATTATTAGTTGTCGAATCTCCATATTAGGTAGTTTAAGCTTGCATATAAAATCGAAACGCCCAACCTATACGGTATAGGCATGACCAATCGCCCATACAAATACTTTGCTTAAATATTTTGCGTTCACGCTTATATTGTGAAAAAGATTGCAAGCTTAAACTCCCTATTAATATTTCTATGGTTTGATCTTTTTGACCTAACTAGATGCTGACTGACTGATGCAGAAATATTTATGTCATCAAATAAGGTATTAAACAATACAAAAAATGTACTTGATCCAATATTAAAAAATCTGTACCCTTTATAAAGGTTACTCAATATATTTATTACTCAATGTATTCAAACATTTGCTATATACTTTCATGAAGTTCAATATACATTACATCTATATATTCATACAAGTTATTGTACATTTTGTACATCAGATGGCTCTGATATTTCTGTTCTTATGTACAATATTGACATACATAGTTTAAAATATAAGTGACTCACCCATGAGCAGTACATAACGAGGGAAATATGTAGTAAAAGGGGTTGATAAGACCATACTTGAAGTACCTGATTGTATATTATCAACACAGAACTTGTATATGTAGCCGCTGTATGTATATAATAAAATTACATGTCCCTCATTGTTCCAGTTGAATAGAAGTCCAGGGAGTTGATTACATAGTACTCGTAGTACCCGATTGTATATGATAAAAGGGTTTGATGTAGTACTTTTAGCCCATGTTTGTATATGATCAAATTACACAGTGTTTGTTCCAGTTGAATATGAATTCCAGGGATTTAATTACATAGCACTTTTAGTCCCTGATTGTATATGATCAACACAGTACTTGTAGGCCCTATATGTATATAATCAAATTACACGGTGCTCCCTGTTCCTGTTGATTTATGAAGTTCATGGGGTTGATTACATAGTACTTGTAATACCCTATTGTATTTGATCAACACAGTACTTGTAGTGACTGTATGTATATGATCAAATTACATAGTGCTTGTTGTTCCAGTTGAATATGAAGTCCATGGGGTTGATTACATAGTACTTGTAGTAAGGATTGTATATGATCAACACAGTACTTGTAGCCCATGAATATATATAATCAAATTACACAGTGCTGCAGTTCCTGTTGAATATAAAGTCCAGGGGGTTGATTACACACTACTTGTAATACCCGATTGTATTTGATCAACACAGTACTTGTAGTGACTGTATGTATATGATCAAATTACACAGTACTCGTTGTTCCAGTCGAATATGAAGTCCAGGGGGTTGATTACATGGTACTTGTAGTGACTGTATGTATATGATCAAATTACACAGTGCTTGTTGTTCCAGTTGAACTTATCACATTGAAGAAAGTCAAAGATGATCTGCTCCCTATACTCGCATCGCCGTCCATCAACTGAAGTGAATTAAACAAATGAACATTATACAAATAAACAGGTTAAAGAATCATGTATTGACAAGGATAATCTGTAAATCAGTGGATATATATAGGTTATTTAGGGATTGAATATGGGTTTTATTCCGAGGGACAATATGATATTGACAGAAGGGTTATATGATATGTCACCGGGAAAAAATAACCGGGAAATTGAAAATAGGTTAATATGCTCCAATACGACTTTTTCACAGGGACAATACGATTTTTTCATGTAATACGCTCCAATACGTTTTTTTTCCAGGGGACAATACGATTTTTTCATGTAACACGATTCAATACAATTTTTATTCCTATATATTTCCCTGGGAAAACAGTAGTATTATGGAATAAAAAGTAGTTATTCTTCAGGAGGGATTTGATATGGGAATATCACAAGGATGATATCAATATCGATATCATCAGAGGGATATTACCAATATTATCCCAATAGGTGAATAACAACCTTATACCATGGTCAAGAGTAAAAATGATCTTTGAAAAAAGGAAAAATTTCTAATTTGGGGATGAAATGTAAAATTTTTGAATTTACCCAGGGTGATTTCAATATCAACCTTGATATCATCCCTCTAATCCTGATATCAACCCTGATATCATCCCTCTAATCCTAATATCAACCCTGATATCATCCCTCTAATCTCAATATCATCCCTGATATCGTCCCTGTCCCAAATATGTGATTTATCATGATCACTTGCTATTATATACCTGATATTGCTCTGACCATGGTATAAATAGAGGATATCCTATGATTTATGAGTGATATGATTTTTTTTCACGAATGGATATGATATCTGCACGAGCGAGCGTAGCGAGAGAGTGCAGATATCAATATACATGAGTGGATTAAAATCATATCAAGAGTAAATCATAGGATGTTCTTTTTATTCCATAGTTTAAGTCATCATCAGAATGTTGACACTAATAGCCTCGTTTTTAGTCTGAAGTAGCAAAAATCCATAATTCATAGCATACGGCGCTGTATCTCATACTTGAGAGGGTTTTGGGTAGATATCACCCAGGAATATACAGGGTGTTCCAAAAGTAACAGGACTGGTGCTGGCATTTTGTTAAATATGCACCAATCGTCTTCAAAATTTTACAAAATGTACTTTCATGTATCGTTACTAAAACTGCAAAGTTTCGATAAAAAATGTGTAACTCAGGTAGACTTATGGTTGCTATGGTAACATGACATCACAATACCCGGGGCAACATTCCACGCAGAAAGTTACATTAAGACAGAAAGAGACATTAAGCATTTTGTACATCCCATATCAAAGTTAAAATGCAACAACTGGTGGGAATTACATTTGTTTTACATAATTTGATATTCCTATGTATCCTATGTACTTTGAAAAATAGGCTCCTCTTTGGTCAGTAGAAGAGTAGCACTCTGTATCCATGACTCAAACACATGATTGAATCCATTTGAGGACATGTCACCCATGGTCCTTGGAGAAGGTCATTCTCATTTTTTTAAAGATCTTACAGCTCTGATTAGATTTCCATTCTCCATATAAGTAAAAATTGGATGTTGCATGATCAGAAGAGTATGGTGCATGGTTTTAGAACTCAAGACCTAGCTCCTCTATAGCTGCATGGTCTTTAATGGTGACCTGCGGGCATGCGTGTTATCAAGGTGGATGACTGGCTTCAAATTGGGTCTTTTAAAAAACTCAACCATGAATTGTTCAGACTGTACTTCATAGTGATATTCTAGGAAATTGAATAAATATAATTATAATGAAATTATACTTGAATCTGAGTTTTATAGCAACACCTTTACAACAAAGCAACTCATAAAATAAACAAGAAATGTTGTATTATAATAGGTGAATTAGATACTTTCTTCAGTAATACAAAAATGTTAGATATCACATTTTCAGAAAAAATCGTTGCCCCGGGTATTGTGATGTCATGTTACTATAGTAACCACAACTCTACCCGCATTTCATCATTTTTTCTGAAACTATACAATGGTAGTTGCAATACTTCAAAGTACAATTTGTGAACATTTGAAGACAATCGGTGCAAAATTGACAAAATGCCAGTACCAGTCCTGTTACTTTTGGAACACCCTGTATATCGTATCTGAGGAGCGGGCAGGATATATTGTATATGTCCCGCTCCAGGCCAAATGCGGGCAGATATAATATATCCATCCTGCTCCCGTGAATTTTTCAAAAGTTTAAAAAAGTTTAAATATCAAAAGTTTTAATTTTTAAATTTTAAAATTTAATTTTTTTAAGTTTAAATGTTACAATTTCATTGTATTGAACAAAAAGAATATTACGAAAATGTTAAATATAAATATCTTGTCATTTGAAAAAGGTGGAAAAGGTTATATCTACCCTAAACCCATTCAAGTATGAGATACACCAGTTATGCACGGTTGGTTTGGATACATGGAATATCCCTTGGGATATACAATACATCTTCCCTCGGTCCCTTCGGTCCCTCGGGAAGATATATTGTATATCCCTCGGGATATTCCCTGTATCCAAAACCTCCCAGTGCATAACCCCTATGTATGTCATGGCTAAAACACTGTATGCTATGGTTTAGTGAAAATTTGTCAAAAATATCATATTTTACCACTGATTACAAAAATACCGTTTTTATTTTGACATGTTATCCTATGAATATCATGGTAACTGTGGAATAAAAGGCAATAGCAATTTGGTTTAAAATATATCAAACATGCTTCAAAAATTGTAATAGTTCAATGACTTACTATTTCCCCAAACATATCTTGTAGTTTTTCCACCATGTCGTGAAAGTTTGTCCTGAGTGATTCATGGTACTCGTACTGGTCTGATTGTATAAGGTCACTATTCAACTCCAGAGCAGCACTACATACACGCACAAACTTCCTGTAAAGTTAAATAAATCAGTTATCATTAGTTCAACAAGTTTATACTTTTGTCCTAAGGAATCATAGTAAACTTCTGACCATCCCTCCATAGTTTTATCAATATTTAATGTGGTTTAGAAGTTATTTGTATTGAAACACTAAAAATGTACGTTGGATATGTAAGATACTATATTTAACAAACCTCATGCACACAAATCAGTGTCTAGTGGTCAATATCAATGTACAGCCATTAACAAAATATTGTATCATCTTGAACAGGTATTATATCATGAAAAATGAATTTATACGGAGATGGTGTTATCAGAGAATAAGGGAATATTAATTGTATTATTATATGAAGATCAGGCCAAAACCAACAAAAACAGGCCCACTTACATTGATATTCTCCTAAAACAATTTTTCCAACAATAGATATACTGTACGCCCAGTTAATTTCGTGAGTTTTAATTTCGCGAATTCGTTGAAAACAAAATTTCGCGAATTTCACAAGTTTAAAATTCATTATTCTCGGAATTCACGAGCTATGTAAACCAAGTTAGATGTACAGTAATTGCACTTACCTGATGTCATATTTAGATTTAAATATTGAGATTTACAATTACTATGATCTTTGTCATCCGCAAGCTGCATATCAACCTCTATTGCATCGTCATTTTTGGTTTTAAAGCCAAGAAACTGTACACTAGGGCAATCTGTACGAGGTTTGATTTTGAGGTTCGGTCTTTGCACATTAAATCAAGCAATTTAGTTGGTTCAAAACACTAACAATTTTTGGGGATTAAATCTGCAGTTTCGCAACGATAAATTTTTGCAATTTTACAATACTCACGAAACTAAATTACACGCGAAAAATACCGGGCGTACAGTATGTATTATGCACTCACTTGAACATTTCTTTGAGAATCTTCACTTTGTCCATGTCAAATTTATGTACAACTGCCTTTTCAAGGAAGGCCGTGGCATAAGCCAATGGTCCAGCATTCACCTTGAAACCAAAAATCATTTATTCCATGTATTTACAGATCAAATTCAAGGTTTTGAATGGTAGGGGTGGGGTTAGACTATCTTCTTGAATGTCAAGACATTTCCATTTGTGCAAATCAATACACACAATACTATACAATCAAGGGGTAACGTTATATTTAAAGGTAAAACATGTATCAACAATTGCATATTTTACTGTATTAGGGCTAACAGAGATAATATACATTTTACAGGAATTTCAGATTATATGTATGGATAATATGAATCATAACATACTGTTGCGCTGACACTTCCTTGTAACTTCAATTGCAGTTTGATTAGATCAGGTGTCTCCATGGCGATGATAGCAACAAGTTCATTGACCTTGGTCTGTATCTCATCAATGGCGACCTCTATTGGTGTTAGTTCCACCTCATGGTGGTACGCGACTAAGATGCGCTTCTTCAGGTATGGGAACGAATGATTTGCTATAACATCAAACAAAACTGCCTTCATGTGCAATTCTAGAGATTCTTAGAGTATGGATTGAAAGGTGTAAGGTTTATCATTTAAAAATTTATCTGGCATGTTATCCGACCCAAACTAGAAAAACAGCAACTCCACGGAGTAGCAAATCCCACCGAACAAAATATGTTAATGTATATAAAATTTGAAGTTAATCCGTCCAATGGTATTTGAGTTATCAAAGATTACCTTTTTTATTAAAAATGGCTTTGAAATTTCTTCTGAACCAAATCTCCTTTTCCCCTAAATATCAGCATATAAAATTGGAACTAAATCCATCCACTGGTATTGAGTTATCAATAATTACGTTTTTTTACGAAAAATAGCGGCCATTTTGAAATTCAGTGGCCATCTTGAAAATGTCTACTTGATCAGAACTTTTTTGTCTCTAGGCATCAGCATATAGAATTTGAACCAAATCCATCCACTGGTATTTGAGTTATCAAAGATTATGTTCTATTATGAAAAATGGTGGCTATTTTGAAACTTAGCTCCCATCTTGAAAATCCCTTCTCAAGCAGAGCTCCTATATCCATAGGCATCAGTATGTAAAATTTGAACCAAATTCATTCAATGGTATTTAAGTTATCAAAGATAACATTTTTTACGAAAAATGGCCGTGATTTTGAAATGTGGTGGCCATTTTGAAAATGTCTTCTTGAGCAAGGCTCCTTTGTACCCAGGCAACAGCACATAAAATTTGAACCAAATCCATCCACAAGTATTTGAGTTATCAAAGATTATATTTTTTCCGAAAAATGGCCGCCATTTTGAATTCAGCCGCCATATTGAAAATTCCTTCTTGAGCGGAAGTCCTACACCCATAAAGCATAAGCCTATAAAATTTGAATAAAATCCATCAACCGGTATTTGAGTTATTGCCTGGACACACGAAGGGATGGAAGAACGGACGGACGAACAGCTTTTCTATATCCCCCTCGAACTTCGTTCGGTGGGAGAATTAACTGGTAACTGCCATCTCAGTTATTGGATGATTTGTATAAATCTTTATTTATTATGCATTCATCTGTTTATCACATATCAAACATGATTAGAGGCAAATAAACATATAATATCAACCAATACATCAAAATTGTTAATATTGACTCACTTCTTAGTATGGTTCTGCGCTTGTATTGATCATGGACGGCGCCGTGGGCCTTGTCAGACTTTGTAAATGGTGTCTCAAACATAAATCTTTGTATATTATTGTTCCTTTCAAAATCTGTAAGCCGTGTCTGAAGTTCTTTCTCATCAAAGTAGGGAGTGACATATGTGATTTGAATGTAGGCGTATCTTGAGTCAAGATCTTTTTGATTCACCTAAGAATGAGAAATATTTTTGATATCCTGAGGTTGTATTATACAATACCGGGAAAAAGACTATAATGAGTGTAGCACTCAATTTAGTGTATTCCTTCTTCCGCACCTTAAGATTTACAACCTAGTAGTAGCATGAACTGAAATCCCAGTCTCAATCAGGTTTCCAAAAAATACTTAACTACATGTATATTGCAATTATTTACAGATATATTTCTTGGACATGAAATTTACTTTAATATTATGGCATTAAGCATTACAAACCATGAACAAGAATGCTAAGAATTCAACTGATCAAACATTTGCAATAAAGTAGGAAGAAGGAGTTGACATCTATGAATTCTTGATAAATACATGCACATCTCCATTATGTAAAATCAAGATACAAAAATTAATGATGCCTACCCTATTCGAGTCTTGTATAAGGCGCACATTCCCCCTTCCAAACTTTTCACTGTATAGTGTCTTCAGTCGCTCGCAAATTTCTGGAAGTCCAGTCACCTTAGGTTCTTTGTAGATGTAAGTTTTACCATCTTCCTCCTCAAAGAACTAAATAAAACAAATTTAAATTTAAAATATTGTAATGGCAGTGCATTGTTCAATGTTGAATTGCCTTAGAATATATCCAAATTAAACCCAGCGTCATGAATATAAATAAAATGAAACAAAGAGAAATTTGCTAGACAAGTTATATTGTTTGCCAGTCCATGTAAAATAATATATGTCACTTGCCTGAGTTCCATAAAAGGCCACACGGAAGTATTTCCCCAGAAGTCTTTTTCCAGTTTGCATCACCATGACAACATTGGCATATGCATCATGTAATCGATTGTATGTCATGGTCAATTGTTGAAAGTCTCTCTTTTGTTCATATATTGGTATGATCAGTTTGTAAATGTCTCCAAGCATTTCATAACGTTCTGATTTTTCCACTTCCCGGCAACATTTCTCAAGCATCTCTACTAATGTCTCCTGAAATGTTTAAGTATTATATGAATTTATAAACAAATACAAGACACACTTTGTTAATGTATTAACATTATTGTTTTTTTTAGAACCTATAAATTCCAGAACAAACTGTTTTTTGCAATGCCTCTATTACCTAAGTTGTTTAACTAATTTTGTTTGAAGCATCACTTTTTCAGGAATTATACATGTCATACTTTGTTACAGTATACTTCATTTTCAACATTGCTTTCTTTTTTTCAGGCCCTATAGATGTAAATACAAAGTTCATTTTCCAGTATTAATAGCACTATACAGTATTCCCGGTGATAATGTTTTATTTTACACCACCTTGTACCGCCTTTGTTCATCAAGCTTACATAATTCTACCATTATTACCTCTGTGTATTGCACATCTTGCGTATATTGTGCATCTTGCATGCCAAAATCATCTTTAATTATTACCTCTGTGTATTGCACATCTTGCATGCCGGAATCATCTTTAATTATTACCTCTTTGTATTGCACATCTTGCATGCCAAAATCATCTTTAATTATTACCTCTGTGTATTGCACATCTTGCATGCCGGAATCATCTTTAATTATTACCTCAGTGTATTGCACATCTTGCATGCCGGAATCATCTTTAATTATTACCTCTGTGTATTGCACATCTTGCATGCCGGAATCATCTTTAATTATTACCTCTTTGTATTGCACATCTTGCATGCCAGAATCATCTTTAATTATTACCTCTGTGTATTGCACATCTTGCATGCCGGAATCATCTTTAATTATTACCTCAGTGTATTGCACATCTTGCATGCCAGAATCATCTTTAATTATTACATCAGTGTATTGCACATCTTGAATGCCAGAATCATCTTTAATTATTACCTCTGTGTATTGCACATCTTGCATGGTGGAATCATCTTTAATTATTACCTCAGTGTATTGCACATCTTGCATGCCAGAATCATCTTTAATTATTACCTCTTTGTATTGCACATCTTGCATGCCGGAATCATCTTTAATTATTACCTCTGTGTATTGCCCATCTTGCATGGTGAAATCATCTTTAATTATTACCTCAGTGTATTGCACATCTTGCATGCCAGAATCATCTTTAATTATTACCTCTGTGTATTGCACATCTTGAATGCCGGAATCATCTTTAATTATTACCTCAGTGTATTGCACATCTTGCATGCCAGAATCATCTTTAATTATTACCTCTGTGTATTGCACATCTTGAATGCCGGAATCATCTTTAATTATTACCTCTGTGTATTGCACATCTTGAATGCCGGAATCATCTTTAATTATTACCTCAGTGTATTGCACATCTTGCATGCCAGAATCATCTTTAATTATTACATCAGTGTATTGCACATCTTGAATGCCAGAATCATCTTTAAATATTACCTCTGAGTATTGCACATCTTGCATGCCAAAATCATCTTTTATTATTACCTCTGTGTATTGCACATCTTGCATGCCGGAATCATCTTTAATTCCCATCTCATCAGTCTCAATGTTGGCTGAGATTTTCTTAAATGCTGAGCATCCCTGAGGGTAGGAACCTTAAATGGAAGAACTCAATTCAATTCAGGGTCAACTTATATATTCAAATAACAATTAATTTAATAGCCTCACCGCCAGAGCTGAAGTATATTTGAATATTTCAAGATTGAAATTAAATGAATGAGAAATGCATCCCACTTCAAACAAATGCACAATAAATCGAAGGTCTAATTTGACTTTAATTTTTGAATAACTTCTCATGGGAGTTAAGCAGAATTATCTGAACAATTTAATTCTAGCCAGTCCATTAGAATTTAGACAACAAAAATTAGTAACTCAATTTTTTCACAAAATTCCATTCAAGGCAGTGGAATCCCTGAGAATGCTGGAAGCATGGAATAAATTAAAAATGCTCATTACATATTCTAAAGATTCAAAGCTTATCTAAGTGGTTTGAATTAAGCCAAGTTTATACATTAAAAACAAGTCACTGTATTTAAAGCCCATATCAGAAACAAAACATTCTGTGATCTATCTAGTACACAATAAAATAAAACATTTATACAAATATAAATAGGAAATAAAGTAAATAATCTAATAAATCATATTTTAAAACTAAAGGTCATCAAACACAGGCCAACATGTAGCCAAGATTTGCAAAGGGAGGGAGGGGGTTCACTTTTGACAACTTTGGGCCGAAAATTGGCCAAAATCACAATTGTGCTTGAACCCCTGAATGCCCCCCCCCCCTACAGGCCTGAAACACATATTCAAAATATGTCATGGTCACTTGTTCTTGATTGACATTTTTTAATTGCTATACTCTCATATCTTTTGACCATATTCCCATGCACAAAGTTTTATAATGGTTCCATATGAAGACATGGGTTTACACACATGTTGGCAGTACATGAAAATAGTAGCCTAGATATGATATATCTAGGATTATTAAAGAGAGTATTATCCATGCATTTTCAGCTTTTCTAGGAAGAATCCTATTAATATTGAAAATTACTCCTGACCAGCAACCAGCATGCTTAAACTAAGCTTGTATTTGCAAATGCAACTAATGCCTGTCTTCTACCAGATCAACCGCTATATTATGACCAACTCATTTAAATATGAATGGAATATTTATTTAAATGACTTGCCCATAAAATTGAAGGTTAATCTGTTGCATTTGTGAATACAAGCTTAGTGAACCCCATGCAAAAAATGAATTGAAATATCCCACATATTCCGTTAGTATTAACATTCCATAATAAAAAAAAGAAACTTGGACAAATGAAACACAAGTCACATCAGAACAAAAGCTATGAACAGAAATGAAATGGGTATACAATGCCTAATTCATCCTCCTAAGCAGGTATCCAGAATCTGTACCTCCTTCTTCCCCCTGCTATAATCAATTTGGAAGCGCCCGATAAAACTGAATTACGTGATCTAATTATGCGCAATGACTTGTACATGATTTCTGTCGTAGTGTTGCGACAGCCAATCAGATTGCGAGTTCTTAATTGGGGAAATGCTAACTGCTTATCTCAGGGGGTAAAAAGAAAGAATATATTCTGGATTTTGAAAACCTGTGATTGGAGGATGTGCCTAATTAAGAGGGGATATATGTTGTAATAATCACACACCTTGGTCAACTTTTGTGTCTAAAATACAAAATCCAGTCAATAATGAAATGTTTTTGAATTATTTTTTTTATTGAACATGTTTTATCAAAAGCTTGAGTTTATAGTATATTTTCCAATACATCTATTTTTTTATATTATTATACATAACATTGACCTTTATTCTAAAATATTACAAAATTATGATTTCATAGTATCCTATTGTTGTTTTGGTTTTGAATGAATCATGTTTATATAGCTAATAATAAGGGCAACTATACAGATAGCAACAAAAAAGGTTGTACAGTAAGACCTGTCTAATCTGAATGCCTTTTGGATAGGCTAAAGGTGTTTGGATTAGGAGGTGTTCAAATTTTGTTGTTCGGATTTCAACAGGTTCATTTTTCAAATATGAGTGTTCATTGTTAAAATTGGAGGAGGTGTTCAGATCAACCTTTTAACATGGGAATCAATTGGAGGAAAAAATGGGAAAAGTGTTCAGATTGGAAGGTGTTGAGATCAGTCTGGACTGTTCAGATATATAGGTTTCACTTTTTTATTATTGGAATTTAATTTTTCAAAATCGAATTACAGATACAGATTTCCAATCGACTGGGGGCACTACAGGTAAAATTGACATTTAAATAATATATATTAATACATGAAATGAACAATGATAGTAGACAATGATCTAGACAACAAGGAGGAGTTGAACTAGTACAGGTTTCACTGTATGTGACATACATGTAATCATATATAAAATTGGTAAAAACAAAGGGCTATAAAAACTGTATGTGACATAATCATATGTAAAATTGGTAAAAACAAAGGGCTATAAAAACTGTATGTGACATAATTATATGTGAAATTGGTAAAAACAAAGGGCTATAAAAACTGTATGTGACATAATCATATGTAAAATTGGTAAAAACAAAGGGCTATAAAAACTGTATGTGACATAATTATATGTGAAATTGGTAAAAACAAAGGGCTATAAAAACTGTATGTGACATAATCATATGTAAAATTGGTAAAAACAAAGGGCTATAAAAACTGTATGTGACATAATCATATGTAAAATTGGTAAAAACAAAGGGCTATAAAAATTGTATGTGACATAATCATATGTAAAATTGGTAAAAACAAAGGGCTATAAAAACTGTATGTGACATAATTATATGTGAAATTGGTAAAAAAACAAAGGGCTATAAAAACTGTATGTGACATAATTATATGTGAAATTGGTAAAAACAAAGGGCTGTATAAAAACTGTATGTGACATAATCATATGTAAAGTTGGTAAAAACAAAGGGCTATAAAAACTGTATGTGACATAATTATATGTGAAATTGGTAAAAACAAAGGGCTGTATAAAAACTGTATGTGACATAATCATATGTAAAATTGGTAATAAAAACAAAGGGCTGTATAAAAACTGTATGTGACATAATTATGTGTGAAATTGGTAAAAACAAAGGGCTGTATAAAAACTGTATGTGACATAATTATATGTAAAATTGGTAAGAACAAAGGGCTGTATAAAAACTGTAGGTGACATAATTATATGTGAAATTGGTAAAAACAATCAGCTGTATAAAAACTGTATGTGACATAATTATATGTAAAATTGGTAAAAACAAAGGGCTGTATAAAAACTGTAGGTGACATAATTATATGTGAAATTGGTAAAAACAATCAGCTGTATAAAAACTGTATGTGACATAATTATATGTGAAATTTGTAAAAACAAAGGGCTGTATAAAAACTGTATGTGACATAATTATATGTAAAATTGGTAAAAACAAAGGGCTGTATAAAAACTGTAGGTGACATAATTATATGTGAAATTGGTAAAAACAATCAGCTGTATAAAAACTGTATGTGACATAATTATATGTAAAATTGGTAAAAACAAAGGGCTGTATAAAAACTGTAGGTGACATAATTATGTGAAATTGGTAAAAATAATCAGCTGTATAAAAACTGTATGTGATATAATTATATGAGAAATTTGTAAAAACAAAGGGCTGTATAAAAACAGTATGTGACATAATTATATGTGATATTGGTAAAAACAAAGGGCTGTATAAAAAGAACATAATTTATTTGAAAAACACAAACATGTACTGTTTTATTGGTGAGAACTGAAGTGAAGTTATCTCACGCTCTTCAATCAACTTTCCAAATTGTAATATATCAGGCTATAATTTTTATATTTAACTATGATAAATTACTAAACAACATTTAGTGAAGTAAGCAGAACCCGATAAGCAAATATACATGTAGTACGCAAAACACCAATTAATTTTTCTTAATGGTTCAACATTCTTCAATCTTATCTAACTTATATAGAGGTAACCATAGCAACAATTCTTCAACCATATCTATGCAAAACAACAACATTGGAAGCTGTTACGTTAATTTAACTTACTCCTCAATTTGCCTTGTTATAAAAAATATCAAAGAATTATAGAAAGTGCATAAAAGTTACAACTGCATCAAATACTTGATTCATTATGAATAAGGAAGGAAAATAAGAAAGTTATTTCAGCGTTAAATCATGTTCAGCAAAATCTTAAGGACTCTAAAGAGAGATTTACAGCATTGTTTCGAATCACTGCTATTAACAATCACTTATCTAGATTCAATCATCAAAATATCAAGAGATCAAATCATTTCAAAAATGCCAGATGAAATGCAATCTTAGTTCTAAATAGCCATGATTATAAGGAATTTCACATTTACCTCGTCTTTTCAAGTATTCAGCAACCAAAGCAGCTTCGTGAAGATAGCAATGTGCAGCCTGGAAATTAAAATGCAAAAATAGTGAAAGATTTTTTGCGTGCTATGGAGGTGCTATGGTATTTTGTGCTTTTCACAAGCTTTGGAAAATTCGCTAAATTTTATAACTCCAAAATTCCATTTGTTCAAACTCACAAAATATAATATTTTTGCGGTAATTATTTCCCGTAATTTTTTTAGAAATCGCCGACTTTAAAAAAAATAAACAGAGTCAATTATATGTTGGAGTGCAATATTCCTAAATGAGTTATTTCGTACGGAAAGCGAAAGGGGATATACCACAGAATTTAAAATTCAATGGAGTTTTAACATGGGAGTGATATCACACACCGCGGCCCAGTCAGATATATTTCTGCGCACTTTATTTATTTAATTCACTTTGCACAACGCGCCCCCTGTAATTCATTCAGTGCGCAATTAAAAATTGTTTATGAGTGATATCGCACACCGCGGTCCAGTAAGATCGATTTCTGCGCACTTTATTTATTAACACACTCAAAATATCGCGCTGAAGCTTGTATATGCTGGCGCGATGTAATTATAGTTTTCTGTTAATAAATGCCCAACAAGAAAGGGTAGCACAACGAATTCAACTTTTTTCGAAAGACTGCAGACTTGACCTGCGAAATTGTAATTTTGGATCACAGTGATGCCTCTAGAGAGGATATCTATGAGAATTACAGATTATAGTGCACAGAATTATAAAGTCAAACTGACCTCAAAATGGTAGTACACAGTGTACACTGCCATCTTTCAATAAAGTAACTACAGACCTTCGTATACAAAATACCAGAATGATTGATGTAATACCTGTATACCATTTCTTCTGGGAGAAGGAAAGTTCCTATATGTATTCCATGGCCGTAGCCAGGGGGCCTCACCGCCCTCCCCCTTGCCAAATATTCGTTCAAAATCATGCAGTTTTTCACCATTCTTAGCACTTTTCGCATGATTTTTTTTGCCATAACTGTCAAAAAGCTCCCCCCTCTTGGCAAAATCTCCCCCTTGGTAAAACCACTCCCCCAGGTTAATCCAGGATACGGGTCTGTATTCTTAGACGAGATTGTTCAAGAACATAAGGTAGACATAAGTGCCACCTGTTAAAAGCTAGGAGATCTTTTCTAAGTTATTAAGTCATCAATCAGCAGACTGGTAATTGTATCCCCCACCCACTTCAAACTCCATACACTAACATAGTATTACAATTTTATCTGTGTTTATTTGACTGTAGAAGGTGTACATCCATAGCATTGAATTGCATTTCATTGCATTGTATTGTATTGTATAGCACATCATTGTATTGTATTGTACTGCATTTTATTGTATTGCACTGCATTGTATTGTATTGCACTGCATTGTATTCTATTGCATTATATTGTACTGTATTGCACTGTATTATATTATATTGCACTGCAATGTACTTTATTGCACTGCATTGTATTGTACTGCAGTGTACTACATTGTATTGCGCTGCATTGTATTGTATTGCACTGCATTATAATGTATTGCACTGTACCACATTGTGTTGCACTGCATTGTATTACACTGCATTGTTTTGAATTGCACTGCAATATATTGCACTGCACCATATTGTATTGCATTACATTGCAGTGCACTGCATTGTATTATATTGCACTGTATTGTATTGCACAGTATTGTATTGCATTGTCTTGAATTACACTGCATTTTATTACACTGCATTGTATTTTATTGCACAGCATTGATTTGTATTGCACTGTATTGTATTGCATTGTATTGAATTGCACTGTATTGTATTTTATTGCACTGCATTGCACTACATTGTATTGCACTGCACTGAACTGCGATGTATTGTATTGCACTGTATTGTATTGCACTGCACTGAACTGCGATGTATTGCATTGCACTGTATTGTATTGCACTGCACTGTATTGAACTGTGATGTATTGTATTGCACTGTATTGTATTGAATTGTATTGAATTGCACTGTAATGTATTTTATTGCACTGCATTGCACTACATTGTATTGCACTGCACTGAACTGCGATGTATTGTATTGCACTGTATTGTATTGCACTGAACTGCGATGTATTGTATTGCACTGTATTGTATTGCACTGCACTGTATTGAACTGCGATGTATTGTATTGCACTGTATTGTATTGCACTGCACTGTATTGAACTGCGATGTATTGTATTGCACTGCATTGTATTGCACTGTACCACATTGTATTGCACTGCATTGTATTGAAATGAACTACATTGTAACTGTATTGTGTTTTATTGCACTACATTGTATTGCACTGTATTGAACTGCGATGTATTGTATTGCACTGCATTGTATTGCACTGTGCCACATTGTGTTGCACTGTATTGTATTACACTGCATTGCTTTGTATTGCACAGCAATATATTGCACTGCACCATATTGTATTGCACTGCATTGAAATGTACTGCATTGTATTATATTGCACTGTATTGTATTGCACAGTATTGTATTGCATTGTCTTGATTTACACTGCATTTTATTACACTGCATTGTATTTTATTGCAGTGTAATGTATTGTATTGCACAACATTGTATTGTATTGCACTGTGTTGTATTGCATTGTTTTGAATTGCACTGTATTGTATTTTATTGCACTGCATTGCACTACATTGTATTGCACTGTATTGAACTGCGATGTATTGTATTGCACTGCATTGTATTGCACTGTACCACATTGTATTGCACTGCATTGTATTGAAATGAACTACATTGTATTGCACTGCACGGCATTGTTTTGCACTGTATTGCATTGCACTGCATTGTATTGCATTATATTGCACTGTATTGTATTGCATCGTATTGCACTGCATTTTATTGTATTATATTGCACTACATTGTATTGTATCATATTGCACTGCATTTTATGCATCATATAACACTGCTTTGTATTGCATCATATTACACTACATTGTATTGCATCATATTGCACTGCATTGTATTGCATCATATTGCTCTGCATTGTATTGCATCATATTGCACCGCATTGTATTACATCATATTGCACCACATTGTATTGCATCATATTGCACTGCATTGTATAACATCATATTGCACTGCATTGTATTGCATCATATTCCGTATTTACCATTTCGTTACAGTTTTATTACATAAAATGTTATTTATAAGATTATAATTTTCAAACATTGAAAATATTTTATACAATATCAATTAAAAGATATGAAATGGCCCAAAATAATATATTGTCAATGGAACCCTTTGCAAGGGTCACTTCAACATAACGCCACGTGTAATCTGTATGCATACGCCCTCTTTTAATGAACATTATCTTTGAAACTATATTAGAATCGAATCTGATAAAAGTGCGCATGTCCTGGATGTGCTGCGCGCTAGAATCGGGAAATCTCAAAGTTCTCCTCGTTAGAGCCATCAATATTATCCAAAATTGTCATTTCGCTGGTTCACTCCGCAGTCTTTCGAAAAAAATCAAATTCGTGGTGCCACGAATTTTTATTCGTTTTTTATTCACAGATAATCATTTTTTCATCGCGCACTGAATGCCGGAATTTCTGCGCACTTTATTTTAATTAACTTTGCACAACGCGGCCCCTGTAATTCATTCAGTGCGCGATGAAATCTATCTGACTGGGCCGCGGTGTGTGATATCACTCCCATGTTAAAACTCCATTCGATTTTGAATTATGCGCATGTCCCCTATCGCTTTCCGTAATTTCATGACTCTAGAATATATATCACATCACTGTACATGTACAGGGTGATCAATAAATAAGGTAAAAGTATCTGGCATTTTGTAAATATTGGTCCAAACATCCTGAAATTTGGTCAGAATATACCTTGTACATTTCTAAATTAAAACATATAAATATATAACTTCTGCCATCTGATTGGTTAATATAATAGTTACTATGGCAACTTGAGTCGAGGTACCCGGGGCAATTTCATTGCGTCCAATTTGAACAAAAAATGATAAAAAGCACATCTTTTTCAAACTGTAAAGAAATAAACATGGGTACCAGCATTAATTGTTTTAATACTTTGTTTACATTGTTACATATTTTCTTGCAAATTTGATGTTTGATATCACGGAAAAGATTAATATGAAAACTGATGTGATCATAGAAAGTCTATGACACAGGTCAATGATGAAAAACAATACCCACAGAAGAGATTTGATGAGAGAAAAGAGGAAGAAGCTAAGACTAAGAGGCCTGCAAAACGTTTCACATTGCACTGGGGTAATGCTCCGTCTCACAATGCTATTCTCATGGTACAAACCATTGAAGCACTGGGTTTCCCACTATTAGGTCATGTACTATACTCTCCTAACTTGTCCCTTTATGATTTTACCGTCATGGTGAGCTGAAGAGGGAGTTGAGAGAGTTTCTCAAGGGATGACTTGAAGCCAGCTGTCTTGAAATTTTGCAGGCTATGGGAAAATGGGTTTAAAAGGTGTTCAAAGACTGGAGTAGAAGACATGAACTATATGTTAAAAAACATTAAGTAGCAGTTATGAAGTATGAAATAAGAATATGATATGCCATTTTAATTGTGATTTGAAATATATTATCAAAAGTGTTTCGACTGAAAATTTAGTTTTTTGATAGTTGCCCCGGGTCTTCATGCTTTCTGTTGCTATGGCAACTATAACTTCAACCAATCACATCACTTTGATCTGTAACTTGATATATCAATTCAATAATGTTTGAACATTATTCTGTGCAAATTTTATGAGGATTGGGTAAAATCTGAAGAAATGCCAGATACTTTTACCTTATTTATTGATCACCCTGTATATACCATTGACATTATCAAATGACAAACAATTGATTTATCGCTAAATTATTTTGAATTTCAGTTGAAGGTGGCTATTTTGGACTTTCTGAGACATGAACAAGAAAAACATGTACTACATGCAATACATACCCTTAGTTTCAATCAGTTTAAATAAGACAGGAAACAAGTTTGGTTTTCATAGTTCTACACAAATCAATTAATTTTTTTCCTACCTCTGAATGGTTTCCATGGTTGGTGTGTATCCGGGCCATACTGTCAAGCCATGTTTTCCTCAACTCTGGAGTGCTGGCATATGACTTGGCCAGGCTATATTGGAGGTCGACCAACATCTCAGGGTCATTTTGATGCTCCTTCATTTGGGATGTGGCCATCAACACTGTGCGGATACGTTTTGTAAGGTCCTTTACTTCTGTTGGGAACCGTGTTTTCTGTAAAATAGAATTATGACCATATAAAGTCTATCAACATTGTGCGGATACGTTTTGTAAGGTCCTTTACTTCTGTTGGGAACCGTGTTTTCTGTAAAATAGAATTATGACCATATAAAGTCTATCAACATTGTGCGGATACGTTTTGTAAGGTCCTTTACTTCTGTTGGGAACCGTGTTTTCTGTAAAATAGAATTATGACCATATAAAGTCTATCAACATTGTGCGGATACGTTTTGTAAGGTCCTTTACTTCTGTTGGGAACCGTGTTTTCTGTAAAATAGAATTATGACCATATAAAGTCTATCAACATTGTGCGGATACGTTTTGTAAGGTCCTTTACTTCTGTTGGGAACCGTGTTTTCTGTAAAATAGAATTATGACCATATAAAGTCTATCAACATTGTGCGGATACGTTTTGTAAGGTCCTTCACTTCTGTTGGGAACCGTGTTTTCTGTAAAATAGAATAATGAATATTTGTTTTATTGGTTTTAATAAAAAGCCTTTAACCATATACAGTCTACAGTGTACCCTATACATTGGTATTGTTGATTACATATGAAATGTGGCCATCAAAACTATGTGAATAAGTAGGCATATTTCTATTGTAAGTTAAAATAAAAATTATGATATTGTGTTCTAATATTGTGTCCTGATTGGCCAATGATGTGGAAAACACGAAGCTTCACTCAGAGAATGAAATATTATTTCGCAATACTGCATCTGTGTTATGATCACAAAAATGAATTTAAATTGAAGAAGTTTATTCATTTGTCTAGACTTACTTTGTTATCATATACACTGCAATGGATCCAGGCACCAATGAGACTAGACTGGATTTATTCAACAATAAAAATTTTATTTTATTTTCAGATCTTTTTACTTCCTCCTTAATTCAATAAATGTCATGCATTCAAAAAGCTTTTAATTATACTTCTACCTAATTGAGTTATTCATAATTATATGTGATTTGTTCCCATTACATTTATCCATGTAAAATGTCACACCATTATGCATATAACACCATTATGGAACCACGTGGACTATCTAGGATGTACCTAAGGAGGATTGGAAGCCGTTATTCAAACTTGATACTCCGTTGCCCGGCATGGGCCAATTCGGTAACAAATTACTCATATTTTGAAGACAAGAAGTGCCAATGAAACTCAAATATTAGCATAATATTTGTAATGTACATCTTCTAACAAAAAACTTGGTCAAAAGAGAATTTCACTGAAACATTTTTACTAAATTGTTCCATGCCAGGCAATGGAGTATCGAGTTTGAATAATGGCTGCCAATCCTCCTTGGGATGTACCTGATTAATTACATGAATATTATCACCCACACCATACTTTTGAACTTGGTAATAAATCATGAAATTGTAAAAGACTGACTGGTTATAACAAATCAAAAATTGCAAAATATAAAGAGTTCAATCTATGAACACTTCCCTAATACAATTCTAAGACCTTAACCTACCTAAAATTCTATCAAGCTTGGAGTGTACTACACATGTTTCTTACTATAGCAAACGCCCTCAAGTAAGGTCAATTATAACATACCTATGATGATGTATAGTGCAAAGTGTACACAAGACAGCGGGCCAATATAAGTTTTGAAAAGCCCGCGCCCGCTAACTTTCTGATTGGTCAAGGCGCTGACGTCATAACCAATCAAACTGCGCGAGCAATTTTTCTAAACTCATTTCAATCATTTTCAAATCATTTGTTTGTCAATTCTATAAGAAAAGGGTACTCTCTGACCAGTCTACATCATCATAGGTATGTTATAAATCGTTTATGTCACTATCGTGGCACATATGCCCTCGGTTCTCAGAGATCAATGTCCCTCCCAAGGTCGGGCCATATATCACTGAGACCTCGGGCATATATGCCACGATAGTGACATAACCTCTAATTCAAGCAAACATTTTCCATAGAAATACATATGAATGCCTGTTTTTAATTATTAATGCATGTGAATTGTTTGTACATAATGCCTATGAATAGATTAGCATTGGCGCATTAATCCATTATACTCTGCCAAAGCAACCTCAATGAAAGTCAACTTGAATATTCAACACCTGGACACCTCGTAAACAAAAATAATAAATCTTCAAAAATTCTCAAGATTAACCAAGGCTGTTTTCTATTTTGTAATGTACATGAATCAATGTTGACAATGAGTAATCTACACTTATATACATGTCTTATTTTGTTTACTATATTGTTTATATAGTTGAAGATTTATGGTATACGAGATATGTCAGATAAAACTTCAATTGTTATATACACAAAATTTCAGTTGAATTGAAGAATATTTAAGAAAGTTAGAGCATTTAGTGCATTACTTCTGGGACAACCCTCGTATATGCTTATTGATTTATCTCTCTAATCAGTATGATTGTCAAGGGCACTTTTCATTTCTCATGAACTTGATTGATATTTCATTGATTCATACGCATGTTACAAAATCAAGATATAAGTCACAGGTATTTAATTTACATTTTGACAACAGAAATGGATTGAAATAATAATATCAAAGAAGGTGTTTTCAATTTTCAGGATGATTATGAATTCTCACTACATCTGTTGAATTCTTACCTTTATAATGAACGTCCCTTAATAAATATCATTATTACTACACTTCAGTATATTCATAATTCACAATTAACAGTATTTCAAAGCACACTTCAATATGATACACCTTTCCTGTGATGATAATAGATGTCCCTTAATAGCCATGTTTATTACACTGCAGTTTATCCATATTTCTGTTTATTACACTGCAGTTTATCCATATTTCTGTTTATTACACTGCAGTTTATCCATATTTCTGTTTACTACACTACAGTTTATCCTGATTTCATAAAAGTTCCAAGCTCAAAAAATCTACTCCTACTAAAATGAAGTTCAAAATGTGTATATTAAACCAGGAACATAAAATGTGAGAAAATAAACACAATGCTATAAATGTATAATAGAAAGTGTGTATACATTGGCCTGAAAGCTTGCCAATTGCACTTAACCTGTGTATAAAATCACATATATTCACCTGCAAACAACATGATTTGGCAATCACACTTCCTGCTTGCATTGGTTTGGATTGGCATGATTTTTTGTGTGTAGCATTCATAAATGTTAAGGTGGTTGCATATGATCCAAATTTAGATAAAAAAATTAAAAAGTTTAAAATATAAAAAGTTAATATCTCTTAACTTTATGATTGGTTTCTATTTTTCAATCTGTACTTTCATTATTAGGGGGTTCCCCATTTAGTCATTGTGTATTGATGTATTTTATCAATGGTCTAACGGGTCTAACATTTTTTCACAGTCAATATACTCTTAAAGAATCAGGTTTTCAAGCCTTTTGAAAAATATTGTTTTCTCATACTTTCGAATACTTAGATACAAGCCTTATTCAAATAATTAATAACAAAAACAATAGTTTTCCACTTATGTGTCAATAAGTCACATAAATGACCCATAACTATGAAAATCTAATTGTAAACAGTTTTCAATAACAAATCTAAATATTTCATTATGAGCTTATCTTATCCTTAAACTAAATAAATTATCAAATTTTGCCTCATGATACTACATGAGGGTTATGTTATGGGAGGTTTTGGATATGGGGTATATCCCGAGGGAAATGTTGTTATCTTACCGAGGGCCCGGAGTAGTGGTGTCAATTAACCGCTTGAGCATTAACCGGTTAACCGGGGGTTTTTACCGGTTAAAGTCGGTTAACCGGCGGGAAATTTGAACTTATAATTTCAAATGAAATCTTCATCTTCGATCTTGAAAGTTGAAAAAAATTGGAAAAATGATATATCGGCGTTTATTTTTTACGTTCGTCAAGCTTTACGCTATTCTATGTAAGTAAGCGCGGGAAAGCAATGTGGCAGGGATTAAAGTTGCTGATTGGATGTTTGTAAGGAATTATCGGACCTATCACATGTATGAGTAGCTCACATGAAACTGACGCTTGAAAACAAACAGATTAAAATGCAAAGTAAGCGCGGGAAAGCAATGCGGCAGGGATTAAAGTTGCTGATTGGATGTTTGTAAGGAGTTATGGGACTTATGACATGTATGAGTAGCTTACGTGAAACTGACACCATAAAACCAAACGGATTAGCATGCAAAATAAGCGCGGGAAATAACAGAATTATACACGGTCAACTAACCGCCCATAAAAACTCAGACCGGTCAAGGCATTATCGGCGGTTAACCGGTTAATACTTGACACCTCTAGCCCGGAGGGCACGAGGTAAGATATCATATTTCCCGAGGGATATACCCCATATCCAAAACCGAGCATCACATAACTAATTTATCCTATGTCAAGTGACTTTTATCTATGAGACAATGATTATTCCCTCAACTGATAAATTGAAAAGATTTTAACTTTTTAAAGTGTCTCACATATTCGATCAAAACTTGCCATGCAAACATGTTAGTCTACTTTACTGGCCCCCCTTGCTGTAACAAGGAACCCAAAACACATTAAAACGTAAACATAAACCAATTAGTCACTTCACTATGCAAGTGAGGGGTGTGTGCATGGACTAACACAATATCAGTGGTCAAACTGTGTCAACATAGTAACCCTTGCATATCGTGCTCACTCAAGTATTGAATAATTTTTTTTATGATCTAAATGTTTGTCGTTTATAAAAAAATGTGATATATTTTAGTTTGAAATACATTAATTAATATATTCATTCAAACAGCACTAGAATGCGGGAAGAAAGAGCAATGGTGACAAAATGCAGACAGAATTTTCCGTAAGGGTTTCAAACATTTCTGGACACAATCATACATGTACTTCATGTGTACTGTTATTTTTAGTGCTGTATTTATCGATATAATTTCACGTATTAAAATCATATTTTCCAGCAATGACTTCAAATTCGGAAGCACACCCATATCACATTTTCTTCAATAACTCCAAACATGTGTAAACATTGACCATGTGCATATAAATTCAGATTTCACGAGCTCTTTCATATTCGAGTACCTCATACACCCCTGCATGGATTTAAGTTGGATTCGCCTTTTATACGTGAGCCGACACACTCGCAAACGCTGATTGGATAAAGATTGCGAGAATCTTTAAACTAATGTTGATTTTATTTGTCGTATATGAAACATGTATCCAAAACCCACCGTACATAACAGATGATGTATTTCATACCTACTGAGGTTCTAGGTACATCATACCATGGTCCGTGATCATACCTTACAAAGATCCAAAATTCCAAAACAAACTTAAGGTACTAGCGGTTTTATGGTCGAGATTTTCAAAAAATTTGAAAAAAATAAAATGTGAAAAATAATTTTGAAAAAAAAATTTGAAAAAATGTTTAAAAAAATTTTGACAAAAATTTAAAAATTAAAAAAAATTAAAAAAAAGAATTTCATAAAAATTTTGAAAAAAATTAAAAAAAATTAATCAGCAGCGGGAGATATACAGCAGGAGATATATATATGTCCCGCTCCTCCAAGATATCGATTTTATATCCCGCTGTTATGTACCTGAAACCTCACTTGTCATAGGATAAAGTTGGATATTCTCCCGAAAAAAGTCAAGTAGTGGTGTAATAGATGAACAATGAAAGGACAAATTAAATTAGAAAACAAGGCATTAACATGCAAAATGTCACCACCTGCTATTTGTTACAGATGCTGAACACCAAACAGCAACATGTTCTCATGTTCAAGTGGGTGCATATGTATTTTCAGGTGGGTGCAAGCCTGGTTTTAAAATCTCAGGTAAGTGCTGCACCCATTTGCTTTAATGCTGGGGAGATCACTGTGATCACTGGGTCAAAATATACCAATTTTCCAAGATTTTTCTCATGTTCAAGTGGGTGCATTTTGGATTTTCAGGTGGGTGCAAGCTTTTTAAAAAAAATACCAGGTGGGTGCTGCCCGATTGGTGGGGAGATCACTGTGATGAGTCAATAAATGGAATGAAATGATAAGTTTAATTCTGACCTGCATAGCTTTATCATTGTTTGCGAAGCTGTTTATGAAAATGAGGCTCTCTTGGAAGCGAGTCCCACTCAGGCCAACTACATCACTGATCAACTGGGAAACTGAGATGATCATCTGAAAACCAAAATTTAGATATGAAGTCATGAATTTAAAGAAATTTGTAACAAAAAAGCATTATTACCACCTTGCCGGGCCAGTTCTAGGGGTTTTAGTGCTAGTTTAGAAGGCATTCATTTTACTATATCGACCTGAGAAATGTGTGACGTCATAGTGGTGGTCCATATGGACTGGTCTAGAATATATTCTGGACCTGCAATTTTTCCCCGGGAAATTAGATATTGTTCAGTGCATAAGATTTTCTTGCTATTTCAGCCCTGGTCGTTAATGGTGGTAATAATACTAATAATCACGTCATTTCTGCGGGCAATGTAGTGAAATATTGGACCTTGGGCCTTCGTTATTGGACCTTGGGCCTTTGGCCCTCGGTACTATATTTCACTATATTGTCCTTAGAAATGACCTTATTGTACTATTGAGGAAGCCCTCTGATCTGTCAAGTCATTTACTTCATACTATTACGAAATTCTGCAACACATTTTGAATGGCTTTATTATTGTCAGCTATTTAGGCCTATATGATGTTATTGAAGTAAAATTGAGGATGTACTGCAAATGACTACATGTAAAATATCCTGGCGGAAGTAAAACTTCGAATTCTATTTGAAATTTCTTCTTAGCAATCCTACCTGTAAATGCACTCTAGTGAAACTCTCTCTGCGACTGAACTCAAAGTTGGTCCTCATGAGTAGGTAGATCAGAGCACATGCTTCCTGTCTTATTGATAGGAGTCTTGAGTTGCAGCAACGGAGTATCTGGAATATTATTGCATTCTATAGAACTATTTTAGATAGATCAAAGCACATGCTTCCTGTCTTATTGACAGGAGTCTTGAGTTGCAGCAACGGAGTATCTGGAATATTATTGCACTTTATATAACTATTTTAGATAGACCAAAGCACATGCTTCTTGTCTTATTGATAGGAGTCTTGAGTTGCAGCAACGGAGTATCTGGAATATTATTGCACTCTATATAACTATTTTAGATAGATCAAAGCACATGCTTCTTGTCTTATTGATAGGAGTCTGAGTTGCAGCAACGGAGTATCTTGAAAATTATTGCACTCTATATAACTATTTTAGATAGATCAGAGCACATGCTTCTTGTCTAATTGATAGGAGTCTTGAGTTGCAGCAACGGAGTATCTGGAAGATTATTGCACTCTATATAACTATTTTAGATAGATCAAAGCACATGCTTCCTGTCTTATTGATAGGAGTCTTGAGTTGCAGCAACGGAGTATCTGGAATATTATTGCACTCTATATAACTATTTTAGATAGATCAAAGCACATGCTTCTTGTCTTATTGATAGGAGTCTTGAGTTGCAGCAACGGAGTATCTGGAAGATTATTGCACTCTATATAACTATTTTAGATAGATCAGAGCACATGCTTCCTGTCTTATTGATAGGAGTCTTGGGTTGCAGCAACGGAGTATCTGGAATATTATTGCACTCTATATAACTATTTTAGATAGATCAAAGCACATGCTTCTTGTCTTATTGATAGGAGTCTTGAGTTGCAGCAACGGAGTATCTGGAATATTATTGCACTCTATATAACTATTTTAGATAGATCAAAGCACATGCTTCCTGTCTTATTGATAGGATTCTTGAGTTGCAGCAACGAAGTATCTGGAAGATTATTGCACTCTATATAACTATTTTTGATGTTTTCATTTATAATTTTTCTTAAACAATGGCATCCTCCGATCACAGGGCTTCAAAATCCAGAATACATTCTTTCTTTTTACCCCCTGCGACAAGCAGTTATCATTTCCCTGATTAAGAACTCGCAATCTGATAAGCTGTCGCAACACTGCAACAGAAATCATGTGTAAGTCATTGCTCATAATTAGGTCACACGATTCAGTTAAATCGGGTGCTTCCAAATTGGTTAAAGCAGGGGGAAGAAGGAGGTACGGATTCTGGACACCTGCTTAGGAGGATGAAACAATGGTGTCAGTTCAAATATAATGTAAATGACTCATTAATTTCACGCTTAATAAAAAATGTCATTACATGACTTCTAGAGTCTCACCTGATAACAGAAGGTACCACACATCTCAGCCTTGCCCTTGAATAGCACTTTGGGGAACTGAAATACACAGAAATATTGACATAACACAACATAACATTGCTATTAATTCATTACATGAATCTTATGAGGGACGTTATACCAGGTGTCAAAAAACAATGGCACCACCCTCTACAGCAAAAAGTACTTAATGTTACATGGTGTGTCATGTACATGCTCATTGCATCATGATGTAAGAGAATATTTCAGGAAATTTATTATTAATTTATAACTCTGAAAAGTTGAATATAGGAATAAAGCCATCTCTTTAATGATCACTTTTTCAAAAGAGCTGTAGTGACTGCAGGAATAGCTTTTGCTTTCAGTGTTTTTGTTGTTGTGAAACAAGGTCATATATATATAATGTGAGGTAAATCAAAAGTTGCTTATTTAAGCAAAAATAAGCAGACAAGCAATTCTGGCATTCTTGTTACCTTATTTAGAAAAGCTCGCAGGGCAGCAAAGACATGCTTCAACAAGGTCTGTGATTGGTTAGTGCTTAGAAACCTCATGTAGAGATCGAACAACTTCTGCATAATTGGATTGTCGCCATCTTTGTATTCAAGTTGACTCTACAACAAAAAAATACCTAGAGGATTTATACATATATCAGTGTAGTTGTTACTCGGAATTATCTTGAGAAACCTGTACTTAACAAAAAACAAATTGCATTGAGTTCTTTTGACTTGATTCAAGAGGACCACATACACAAAAAACACTGTAACCATAAAAATATATCATAGTGTCTAGTGAACTAATAAAAAAAACATTACACATTTTTACTCATTAAGTTACACTTTCTACACAAGTTTGACAACCTTACTGATGAAACTTAAGTTGGGGACTTACCTTAAAACTGACCGTGTAGAGACTCAATATATCCAGTGTTATAACCCCAATCTCAGTTGCTAGGCAACCCTCTAGTGTTGTCCTATGAACAGCCTCCATACTTGATGCTGAGGGAGCTAAAACATAAAACACATACTGTTACAAATTACTTTTATAACACGAATAAGCTGTAAGTTGTATGTATATAGACCCTATTCATAAAACACATACTGGCACAAATTACTTTAATACAGTGAATAAGCTGTAAGTTGTATGTATATAGACCCGATTCATAAAACACATATGTACAAATTACTTTAATACTGTGAATAAGCTGTAAGTAGTATGTACAGTATATAGACCCTATTCATAAAACACATACCGGTACAAATTACTTTAATACTGTGAATAAGCTGTAAGTTGTATGTACATAGACCCTATTCATAAAACACATACTGGTACAAATTACTTTTAAACTGTGAATAAGCATTAAGTAGTATGTATATAGACCCTATTCATAAAACACATATGTACAAGACTACTTGAATACTGTGAATAAGCATTAAGTAGTATGTAAACAGGCCCTATAGTTGTTATCTTAGAAAAGAGCAACTCCATGGAGTAGTAAATCCCACCGAACAAAACATATTTTGATAATTAGCCTCCATCTTGAAAAGTTCTTCTTAAACAGAGCTTCATTGTCCCTAGGTATCAGCGTATGAAATTTGAACCAAATCTGTCCACTGGTATTTGAGTTATCAAAGATTATATTTTTACGATAAAAAACAAGGGAATGAATGGGAGAAGGAGCAAACAGACAAGTGAACTTACTGTGATCTCCTAAATTGCTAGTTGAATGCAAACCAGCCTCACTGTAAGTACTGGGAGCACGCTGCATTCCACCCGCTAACTGCTGCATCGCTGAGGACCTTTTAGGTGGGAGAGTCAGGGCTTTCCTGCTGTCACCGATCATACTATAAACATATATTTACTCATAATTGTGGCGTATTTGTTGAAAACGTAGCACTGATGGATGTCAGAAGCTGACACATTGTGCATATACAAGGATACTGTAAACATTTACTATCACCAATGATCATGTCATATTTGTGGTAAGCACTGATGGATGTCAAAAATGGACACATTGTGTTTATACAAGGATACTGTAAACATTTACCATCACCAATGATCATGTCATATTTGTGGTAAGCACTGATGGATGTCAAAAATGGACACATTGTGCTTATGCAAGGATACTGCAAACATTTACTATCACCAATGATTACAGGGTGGGCCAAAAAAAACCAATACCCAACTTTAAATCAGAATAAAAATAGCTATGTTCAATATGATACATTGATTTATATATCATTTTAAAGGTAATCCATTTTCGAACAATTTGGTATATAACACTATGTCATGGAATCAATATTAAAGTTTTATTATGCTTATTTGGGAGGCTGGGTCGGTATTTAAAGTATCCAGATTTTAGGGAGAAAGTAGTAAATCTGCGGAATAATGTTAATTTTTTATTTATAAAGAATATCATTTTGTTAGGTGAATACATGCTTGTATATTTGCATATTGTGTGACTAAACTTATTGTTTATGAATTTTAGTGCTGTTTATTATCAGTAAGTACTCAAAGGGGGTCTGTTAAAAGACATTAAACGTATATGTGACAAGGATTTTATTTTCCAACAAGACATTGCCTTGAACCATAGATCAAAGACGACATTGGCATTTCTTTGCAAACAAGGTGTCAATTTGATTGATCTCGATGCTTGCCCACCTAAACAGCCCCGATGCTAATGTGTTTGATTTCCATACATGGAGCCATCTCGAGGAAATGGCACGATCAAAAGCATCCGATAAACAGCATTGATGAGCTGAAACAGATCCTTAAGTGCTGAAATGAATTGCGACAGAAATCTCTAAATACGGCTATTGATAGATTGCGCTACCACTTGAAGCTTATTGTTGATGCAGAGGGGAGGGGTGTGGGTGTATTGAGCAATTGTTAAAATTGTTTAAATAAATAAAGTGTAAAATGTCATTAAACAACACTGAAATTCATAAACAATAAATTTAGTCACACAATGATGCAAATATCAACATCCAAGCATTTGTTCACTAACGTAAGAATGATATTCTATAAATAAAAAATTAACATAATTCCGCAGATTTACTATTTTCTCCCTTAAATCTGGAGGCCTTAAATGGCAACCCGGCCTCCCAAATAAGTAAAATAAAATTTTACTATTGATTTCATGACATAGTGTTACATACCAAATTGTTTGAAATTATATAACCTTTAGAATGATATGTAAGTCAATGTACCATATTGAATGTAACTAAATTTATTCTGATTTAAAGTTGGGTATTGGTTTTTTTTGGCCCACCCTGTATGTCATATTTGTGGTAAACACTGATTGATGTCAAAAACGGACACATTTTGTACAAGGAGTAGAGGAATAATAAGATCATGTTTTCCCTGACAATAATAATGGCAACCAAGTTTAAATAAATAAACAGCAAATGCAATAGCACTCTGTCAATAAGTATCATTACAATCATTACAGTATCATTAGAATACATCATTATGATCATTACAAGTAAAATGGTTCTAAGTAAGATGTCAATTACTTACCTTAATGCATAGATTCTTTTCTTGCCCTGATATTTGAACTGATGGACACATATGCTGAAAACATAAACATCCCTTGATATTTAAAGCTTCATAAAATAGAACAAAAAAAAGAATATATTATTCAAAATGTCATGAATGAACATTAATGTACCAGAGTACTTTAGCTAAGCATGCTGAAATAGCAATACTGGTTAATTTTATTTTACATATTATGGCATTTGTACTGACAATATATAAGCACAAATGCCAAAGGGAAGGGTGACTAAAAACTTTAAAGAAACCCAACAATATAGAAAACCATTTGAGAATGAGAGAATCAACTTACTCTAAAATTGCAAAGAAATCTATGACATCTGTCTCTGAGGAGTTGTTAAACCAGCCTAGTAGAACATCTGCAAAGCAAAGTAATATTGTCAGCATTATTTCATATACAGTAAAACCTGTATTAGTGGACACCCATCTCTAATGGACACCCTTCCTCTGCACATACTCTACTGACTTCTGTTTAAATTACCCTCTCTGTAGTTAACACATACCAACATTGAACGTTTTTTCCTGGCAAAAAAGTTCAATATACAAAGGTTCTACTGTGCCATTTCTGGCTGTATGAAATGTTCAGAGAACTAAACTTACCATGTACTTGTAAATAACTTTATGTGCTGTTGTTTCTTATAATCAATCAATATTTAGTAAAAGCCTTTGAGAAACTACATCTGAAATGTTGAAAAATACAAATCATTGAAATTCTACAATTTGAAACTTCAAGTATGTCTTACCTTCTGACAAGTTCTTGACAACAGACAGAAAGCAAATGAGTAAATCCTTGACTTCTGGCTGTTCCAATCGATCATGCCGTCCAATAGGGGAAGAGGGTCCATTCTGTGTAATAGATGCACTCCTAAAATGTAGTATAAATGTACAGGCAACTTATTTATTTATTTTTATATATTATTGGGACAAGAATGTATTGTACATGATGACTTGGTCACTGTTGCTAAAGTAACAACCATGACAATTCATTGATTCATTAAAAGAGGTATGACCTGAAATAAACATAACAATATATTGCTAGCTGCTGATACGCCAAATAGTCCATTACTAGACTCCATTCAATTGATGTACTCCTTGAATTAAATGATGTACATGCAATTTTCTATTCATCAATTTGTCAAATGTCAAAGGGAAAAAAGGATAGGTATCTCTAAAAGTCTTATGAAAAATGCTCAGAATGGTAAAAAAACTGCATGATTTTGAAAGACGTTTTGGTAGAATGCCCCTGGCTTTGGACCTGGGAACTTAGCTTGTTTTTGGTTACTGTTATATTAGAAGTCACTGAAAGTGAAATCAGTCATGAGAAATATTTCACTCATGATTGTTCAACACAAACCAAAGAGTATTTACAATAATATGTACCTTATATAGTTTTTATATAAATTAGGGCCATGATCTCTATTAACATTAAGTGTATCTAGTGCAAGTTTTCATTGAAATCTGAAAAACATCTTTCAATATACTTCTGACTTGTAAAAGCTGGAACAAATTACACACAATATTTTGTAGTAATTTTTATTTATTTGCACAATGAGATGCCCGGACAATCAAAACATTAAATCCCATGTGTTAATTAACAAAGTGCTTTTAGAAAAAACTTTGATTATGTGCCAATCATTGACAATGGAAGCAATACAGGGTGATCATGTGAGAAATGAGCTAGATTCATTAATATTTACAAAAGAGGACTTTTGATCTTATTTTATGGTCACCCTGTACATATAACAATATTACACACATTTTGTTAAAATGAATCATATCAAAGACATTCTTATATCATCACAAGTCTAGTAAAATTAGTGAACATTTCTGTTTTAGACAGTTCAGATGAAAGTTTGTTAGTTTTAACAAGATTTTTGAAATATTTTTTTTTATATTAAAAGCTTTTATCAGGCCTTAAATTATAGTGGGAAACAGTTTTAAAACATATAGAGTTTTGAATCAATCAAAATATGTTAAAGATAATAACAATTGTTGAGATTCTGTCCCATAGACATTGTTAACCCCATAATCAGCCATTAGTCAAGAAGAACCATAGCACAGCCTCAATCAGAAAAGAGAAACTACCTTTCATAGCTAGGCCTAGTGTTTTTTTTCATGACCTACTACAGCAGAGGTTTCATTAGCAGCAGGCAACAGGCGATTTTCACTGGTTGTTTTCAAAAGGCTGTTGTTTTCAACTTTTCTATGTTCAATTCATGATTTCCATTAATTTTGATGGTGTTTTCATTTATTAAGCATGTTTTGGGAAATTCTAGTGAAACCTCTGTACAGTATTAATTTTATTCTTATGAAGTAGTCCAGAAGATAATAAATTAAGTTAATTTCAATATAAACCATGCAATTCTAAACTGCCAAACCTTTCAAGATACAGACAGGATCATATGCATGGTGGTTGTATTTAGTTCCATTTTTAAAATAAATATTCATTATATTCCGAATCATTTTCGCTATATTAAGTTAAAATCTGAGTATTCCAAATTCATTTTTCTTTATTAAGTAAAATATTCTAAATTGTATTGCTTTCTAGCCTTGTATAATTTATCTCAATTTCCACCATATACTTCATAAAGTTCTTGCAAAAGTACTCTAATCTTTTTGTTTCTCAATCTGGCTGAAATTTTCACTTTGTATACCACCTACACTATTTATACATTTGAATCTTAAATTATAATGAACAGGTTCCTGAAGAAAAAAGTTATGGTTGCTATAGTAACATGAGTCGGGGGTAACCTGTTCATTATAATTTAAGATTCAAATGTATGAATATAAGGTATGCTGAGTGAAAATTTCAGCCAGATTGACTGAGAAACCAAAAAATTAGAGTACTTTTGCAAGAACTTTATGAACGCCCTGTAATAACCCCTGTCATGAAAGTGAGGCATAAACAGATATTAGTGTTCATTCTGTTAACTGTTAGCTATAACCACACCCATTGTGACTCACAATGAACGCGACCGCCTCAAGTTAACCGCTAGCGGTTTACTAACATCTAACCATGCTGGGTATACAAAACTCTGTTCAAAAACAGAACTTCTTGGGCTAAAATAAAAATCAATTAAACATTTAAAATTAATAAACTAATGCACTAAAAATATACAATTATATTTTTATTCATTTATTATTTCAAAACCAATTCTGCAGAAATTTCGATGTCACTACACGATTATTCAACCATGAGCTTGGACTAAGATCTTCATAGTGGTTCTAGAATGGAGGGAAGGATAGTGGTTCTAGAATGGAGGGAGGGATAGTGGTTCTAGAATGGAGGGAGGGATAGTGGTTCTTGAATGGAGGGAGGGATAGTGGTTCTAGAATGGAGGGAGGGATAGTGGTTCTTGAATGGAGGGAGGGGTAGTGGTTCTAGAATGGAGGGAGGGATAGTGGTTCTAAAATGGAGGGAGGGATAGTGGTTCTTGAATGGAGGGAGGGATAGTGGTTCTAGAATGGAGGGAGGGATAGTGGTTCTTGAATGGAGGGAGGGATAGTGGTTCTAGAATGGAGGGAGGGATAGTGGTTCTTGAATGGAGGGAGGGGTAGTGGTTCTAGAATGGAGGGAGGGATAGTGGTTCTAAAATGGAGGGAGGGATAGTGGTTCTAGAATGGAGGGATAGTGGTTCTTGAATGGAGGGAGGGATAGTGGTTCTAGAATGGAGGGAGGGATAGTGGTTCTAGAATGGAGGGAGGGAGGGATAGTGGTTCTAATATGGAGTGAAGGATAGTGGTTCTAGAATGGAGGGGGGGGGATAGTGGTTCTAGAATGGAGGGAGGGGATGTCATTAGATTCACTTTAAAAGTATGTTAGATTTTTACTTGGGATAGTAGGGCAAGCATTTCCTTTCTGCTCGTTATTCCCTTTTGTCACTGCACAATTCATTTTAATGTTAACTATGTATTGTTTTTAGCTTATTACCTTTGGTGGGATATTTTGTCAGTTTTTTCCGATTTCTCCAACTTGCCATCAACAGACTGGGAATTTGACTGTGTGCTTGATCCTGTGCTTGCAAGTGATGTTGTGGAACCATTCATTGGTTTAGGTCCAGAGATGTTCAGATTACCCGATGATACTCCTATAAAAGTAAACAAGACATACAGTTTAGGTCCAGAGATGTTTAGGTTACCCGATGATACTCCTTTAAAAGTAAACAAGACATACAGTTTAGGTCCAGAGATGTTTAGATTACCCGTTGATACTCCTATAAAAGTAAACAAGACATACAGTTTAGGTCCAGAGATGTTCAGATTACCCGATGATACTCCTATAAAAGTAAACAAGACATATAGTTTAGGTCCAGAGATGTTCAGATTACCCGATGATACTCCTATAAAAGTAAACAAGACATACAGTTTAGGTCCAGAGATGTTCAGATTACCCGATGATACTCCTATAAAAGTAAACAAGACATACAGTTTAGGTCCAGAGATGTTCAGATTACCCGATGATACTCCTATAAAAGTAAACAAGACATACAGTTTAGGTCCAGAGATGTTTAGGTTACCCGATGATACTCCTATAAAAGTAAACAAGACATACAGTTTAGGTCCAGAGATGTTTAGATTACCCGATGATACTCCTATAAAAGTAAACAAGACATACAGTTTAGGTCCAGAGATGTTTAGGTTACCCGATGATACTCCTATAAAAGTAAACAAGACATACAGGTTAGGTCCAGAGATGTTCAGATTACCCGATGATACTCCTATAAAAGTAAACAAGACATACATAGATAAATCCACTGAAGAGAAATGACCAACGTGTAATTTACACAGAATATCCTAAACTTAATCAGATCTTGGCACTTTACTGCTCTTGTATTTGTAAGTAAGTTAAATAAATGAGTGTTTTTCTGGAATTTTAATGATTTATGGAGCACAAACCTACACACACACAGATGTATGACCATCATCAAAAGACAATATACTGTAGTTCCAGTATTTTTGGCACCCAATTTAATTTCACTTTATTTGCAGAAGAACAGTTGAACATTCACAAATTGCAATAACAATTGTGAATTAACCCTTTAACTACCCAGAGTGTTGAGATAATCTGTCGCAAACGTTTTCACTAAAATTGCTCTAATTTGAAGAATTGTCATCCAAATACCACAAAAACGTCTTACAATGTGTAGAAATGATCTTTGCCAACTAATTTCACTAAATTTAGCATCACCTGTTGAATATGTATGTAGTAAAGTATCAAAAGCTGGCAAAAATGAGAAATTCTTCTGGTATCAAATCTTGGATTCAAGAGTTAAAGGGAAGGATTTCTTTAAAACAGTGATTAATACGGTGTGTGTGAGTGTATGTGTTGATTTTGTATTAACAATAATGGGTTGATACCAACATCAGCAACAATTAAACTTAACAAGTCCTTAATTGTTATGACATTTATATCATCTTCAATTAGCAATTTTAGAATTGTCTTTTAGGTTTTTTACCATGCATACATTTACAGTTTCTACCTACCACTGATCATAGCTAGCACTGCTGGGTCCCTTGCCTTAGACGCACTTGTGGTGGTGGTGGGAGTGGCAGCCTGCTCTGAGGACTTGCTTGATTTCATACTGGTGTTTTCCTGAAAGTTTTGAATAACATATTCAAATGAAAACCTGTCTCTAGGACACACCCTTCCTCCACACATACTCTACTGACTTCTGTATAAATTACCCTCTCTGTAGTGAACACCTACTAACACTGAATGTTTTTTTCTTGGCAAAAATGTTCAATATATACAGGTTTTACTGCAGTTATTTCAAGACACAAGATTAACTGTTAAGTAACTACCTCATGAATGGCATCTCCATTGGCTGAAGGGTTTGTACTGCCAGGGGTGGGAAGCTCAGGCTTTGAGAGATCAAGGCGACTTTTATTCTCCAACAAGATGGTAATCAAAGGCAAGTAGAGACTGGCTATCCTGGCCTGCTTTGACTAAAAAAAATCAAACATTTGTTTGTAGTTAGTATTCTTGTAATTATGCAATTGTTAAACATACAAGCACAAGAGACAACAAAGTGTCTTTATTTGAATTTTTCATAACAGTTTTACATTATCAAGTCAGTGTGTGATTTGTAAGCCAGATGGTGTTTTCATTATTCTTAACAAATCATATATAATTGATTTGCTTTGCTTTGTCCTTTAATTTCATATGGATTTAATGTCTGCATTGTAATATACACTCTTTTGTTTGTAATGTTTTTAGACACTGGCGGTTCACGTATGTTACATGAAATCTTCTATTCAATTTTATGTCTGCATTATAATATACACTCTTTTGTTTGTAATGTTTTTAGACACTGGACATATATATATTTTTTTTTTATTTATTTATTCTTATTTAATCATATCTTTACAATAGGTTACAATAAACGGGTGACACATAATGTGTATATTCCCGTGTTTTATAATAATACATGAACAGATGGGGGATCTGCTTGTGCAATAATGCATACTATTTGTTTCTGCTTAAATAGTGTGTGTCATATTAAGCCCGCAAATCATTATAAAACTAACATAGACTATGAATGATACTATTGATTAAGAAGGTACTTTTTGAGTTCTTTTTTCATAATGAAGATGCTTTCAGATGATTTCATTTCATCAGTTAATTCATTCCAAATTATCGGTGCAGTGAAAGACAACATAGCTCTACCATAATTTGTTCGTACTTTGGGCTTGTCATAAGAACACTTGTTTCGGGTGTTGTAATTATGTCTCTCCTGGATAGTTTTAAAGAGGTTTGGGAAAATTTTCTGATAATTATCAAGTTCATTAATCCATTTGTACATAAAAAGGCATTTCAATTGCTTGTTTATGTCAAATATATTTAGAATGTTTAGTTGTTTGAATAAGGGAAGAGAATGAGCTCGATAATCAGAATTTGTTGCAATGCGTGTATTCACGTATGTTACATGAAATCTTCTATTCAACTCAAGGTACTGAAAAATAAGGAGAAAATTTTTAGAAGTTTGACAAACCTTTTCTTGATAGCGAGGGTCAAATGCATGTTTCGCTAGCAGGTTTCGTAACACTGATATTGCACATCTCCTTATTTGGCTATTTAGTTCATTCAGCGCCATCTTTTCCTCATGTAAAAGCAGTCCAACGAGAAAATGATTTTTTCTGAATTCCTCCGAAAGTGTGTAGTCATGTTTCATGTCTGCAATATAAAGAACAAATAAATCAGAAAAATGTGTTTTGTTTTGGAAAATGAGTTATATTTGCTTTCAATCATTTTTAGTCTTGTACTAACCTAAGTAGATACTGAGGTTCACAGATAATGGATCTTAAAATATTCAGCTTTAAAATATTCAGCTAAATATCAAAGTCACCTTTACAAATTTGCAAGATGCCTATAAAATGCATTGAATGATTATGTTAAATATGGCAAGTTTTAAAAGCAAATGTTATGGTGACAATCAACATTTTGCAATTTATTTTTGATCTTTTGGTAGTCAGGCTTCCATTTTAGTCTGTGTTTTTTTCAGCCAGGTAAGATTTAGGCAAATTCATATGACATTTTCCATGAAGCCCCCTTCTCTAAAATTAATGTTAACATGCAATTCAGGACAATGCAATTCCATCTGTGCAAAGACATTATTCTGGTCAAGTTTGTTATTCTCAATCTCTTTAAACGTGAATGAAGTATCTATATAATCCCGTTCCAATCTGTTTCATCTGTTTTATACCGCAATTACTTCTTCCAACTTGATTTTGAATGTTAGACCTCAACTCGTGTAATATCTCATTCACAGTGGAACGTGCCAATTTGCAATAACATAACTGGTGGGAACAACATACAACAAGCCCTGTAGAAATCTACAACCAAATAATACCAGAACAAGGAAATCAAATGTTCAGATCTAAACAGCTAACATTGAATGTGAGAATGACTAAGGCAATGTGTATAAGGTAAGCTATTATTTTGAGAAATTGTTTGCACTTTAGATAGATAATACAATAATTCTTGTAGGTAATTATAGATAATAACTGTCATAGACCCTTAAACGCTTGGGGGGAGGGCAGATCTGCTTTTGAGAACGTTTTTTTTTTGTATTTTGTCTTTTGATCTGAAGTTCAAAGGTTTTCTTAAAATTATTTTAGCAAAAATTGTTACTCTAACCCCCCTAAGAGGAAAGTTAGTGCTGATCAAATTTACTGAGATACACAAACTGTCAGCTGCAATTTTGACTTGAAACGATGAAATGCCTATGTTCTTAGAATAACCATTGCTTCAATTAGATTTTCATGAACTGCATGTTTAATAGAGCACCTAAACTAAATTCCTTTGGAACAACAATCAATCAAAGTGTCTTAATACACATTGTACAGTGAATAATGTTCTACCTTCGAAATAAAGTCTTTAATTTAACCGATCAAAAAGAGGGGACAACAGACACTGTAATTACCATATGTTGTTGTCTTTCTAAATTACTCAAATTCAGATTCCGTTGTCATTGACGATATCGAAGACGCTATATTGTGGCGATTCACGACCCAATTTGATCGAAAATAGGATTTCATATGATACATTATCACAAGAACTTAATGCATGCACAGAATTAGCGATGATAAAATCCCATGAAATGAGGACCAAGTGATTAAACAGTTAAAGCAATGGTTATGTCCGCCATTTGTGACAAAGGTATCTGACTTTACCGTAGTCAGGCTATTCCGGTGTGAATATGAATTTCTATATTAATAATGGCTCAATAAAGTTATAAGTAAGCTCAAATACCGGGACTTGAATAACCTTTCCAATGATACCTAGTACAGATCTGCCCCCTCCCCTAACTGTTGGTGTAATTCTGTGTAGCCTGTTTAAGGGTTAAAATATGTATCACACCTTTCTAATAAATCCTGAAACCTACAAATTTGTAAGACCAAATTATCTATCCTAAGAGCATGCATGTTTCAATATCCATGTGGGAAAACCATTATTGTGTGTGCCTTTAAAAATACAAAATTTAAAGTTGGGTCTAGAACTCAGAAAGCATCACTATGTCAGGGCTACAAAGTAAAATATAATATCAAACACAGTCCTATATCATGTATTTTTGATGCTAAAAATAATTTGAATTCAACAAAATTATCTAAAATGGTCTTTATCAGTTATCACAGTTTTCCAAGCAACTAGGACTTATTAAAAGCTACTTATAAACATGTATTCATTTAGTTAGGGCATGAGTATTTCAGAAGCCTCTTTTTAAATAGCTGAAGTTATGTACCTGACAGCAAAGTAAATTTCTACATCAAGGCAAAAATGTTATTAAACTTTTATATAGGACTGTGTGTCACCAGATAACACCTGTTACAATGCATGGATTTGTAACACATGCGAATGGAAAAACATAGATGTGGTTTCCACAATAAATAACCAACTCACTCATTAAAAGGTTTTGGTGTTTGACCAATATTAATTGACATTTCATCAAAATGTGAATAATTGTTCAATAGACAAAATGTGATTTCTGTTGAACAAACTTTATTAAGAAAATAACATCTATGTTTGCCATATTGTTATAATACATTACCATCTGCTCGAATGTCTACTAAGGAAAAAGTTATAATATTATTAAAAACTAAAAAAAATGTAAGCCTATATTCTACATCTAACACCATTATCATCAGCATTCCATAGTTCAGTATGTTCTTATCTGACAATTTCTAAGTTAGAAGTCTATCCGTCACATGTACTTTTCTAGTATTGTTTTGTTCACTGCTGTCTAAGCAACAAAAACAAACATGTCAAAGTTAATTTCATTCAATTGATTGAGAAACATTTTTTTTTCTTAACAAATGTTCAAAATTGGAGTTTACCTTTGTAAGACTTGGTATTCTGTTTCCTCATCAGGGGTAAATTCAGGGGTATGTAGTGCTCATGGCTGCATATTACTCTCAGGAACTCAAACTTGTATTCTTGTAGCACCTTGAAATAATAAGAATGGATTTCATTATTGGACCTGGTACATGAAATGATGCAGTGAGAGTTAGACATTGTTTAAGTTTTTCTTAAATCATTGCTTGGGTTGGATACGATTTGTGCTTACATAATCGCACATCATAATTGCAGTAATGTACTTTGGGCAGAGAAACACATTACCTTTGGGTCTCCTGGGTTAAAATTGTCCATGTAGTTGTTGATGAGTCTGAACACAAAGCCGCGATCCATCAGCGAGAAACAGCCCTAAGATGAAGAATATAATCATTGCGATCATCCAATCGAATGCAAATAAATGTTTACAATTAAAAATTATCACAATTATTCGGTATTCTGGAAAACATAAGTTTTGGAGAAATAATAGAACACATTATGATGGATAAGTTAAAGAAATTGTTTCAATGAATTCTAAGTGCGCAAATATATAGACTGATTTCTCTATGTATGCATTAATATTTATGTGAAATAATATGATTCTGTATTTTTCAAAATTGTGTCAAAAAACCTACCTTGATGAACTTTGCAAGGCTTTCATTCCCATATTTGGCTGGAAGTGGGACCTCACGGTGTTTCTGCACGATATGTGATACTACTGCTTGGACCATATTTTGCATCCTGAAGCCAAGGTTGGCACTGAATCTCTCATGGCGCTGCATCTGGTAATGAAAAGCTAAATTTCTATATCTGTCTACTATTGTGCTGTTTTTTAATAAGAAAATATTTTCACGAACCATGTTGCTGAAGAGAATTGTATCTTCTGTATTAGGCTGAAGCAATGTATCAATACTTATGTGCTCCAAAGGTCACAATCTCAATCACTTACCTTGATTCTACCTGTTGATAGCAAGTGCTGGGCCATTGATTTCATAATCAGTTCAAAGAAGAACCATGAATGATGCAGAAATTTTCCTATGACAAGAACATCAGCATTAGCAGGCCTGAGTAGGGATGTCAGGTTCTTGGCAAGTTCTTCATGCACTGACTTGTCCTTAGCACCAGTCGAGATTTCAGTAACAAACACATACTGGAACAAAAGATCAAAGTGTCATAGATCATTTAAGTTTCTCTCGACATGATAACTTTTTCAATTCAAAGGAGGGGGGAAGTATCGCAACAGGTTTCGGACAGTCATATGTTGGATTTTGGCTATTTTCTGAGGATTTATACAGGTGCAAATACTACACCAATGCATTACCTCTAGAAAAACAGTCTCCTAGAGATGATAAAATAAATTCAACTTTGAGACAGGGGAGATGCAAACAACCCACCCACATGTTTTTTCTGAAATGTTTTCCTGATTTTCAAACCCTGCTTTTCTCATTTTTCTTGCATCAATATGTTGTGTTTTGACACACAGTTAACCCCTTTAAAGGAATAAGTGATTCCTTTTAGATAAAGTGGAAAACAATAGTTCCCATTTTATTTTCCCATAGGAAATACTCATGCAGTCATTGCTTAAAAATTAAAAAATACATTCATAAAACACTGCTTCTCTTTTGTTATTCTTCAATTTCCTGATTGTTAAGTTCTCATATGTAATGTATTGTCTTCAGTATTGATAAAAAATCCTTGTCATCAAATTGACTATTGTCCGGGATAATTCTTATCTTCTCTATGTCTGTTCCATCCAGATTGTTGTTTTCAATAATACTAATATTATATATCTAAATGGATTGAGTGTCTGGATATAAGGGGTGTTTTACCTTTATATATGAATGAAGGCACTCTTCTTTATTAGCTTCTTGGACGGCAGACACAACATGAATCAGTACTCTGAAAGTAATCAGGAATGTTTATAGACCTATCATCAATTTATCTAATACTGTGTTTTACATTTTGAACATAAACAGATATGTGGCAACATATAAATGTGTACATGATCTTAATTTCCTTTTTTTCATACTTTTTAGGTGAGTAATTCCCAGAATGATTGACCAATTGTTTAAACATTCTTGGATAATGAGTGGATAATGCTTGTAATTAATGTAAGTTTCTATAATTAGTTAATTGATTGTAAGAAATAATATGTAAATTGTATAAAATTTACCTGACTGCATTCAAAGCCACATCTTCATTGCTTGTTCGAGGTAAAAGACGGATAAGTTGATTGAACAAAGTTGGTAAGAAGTTGATCAAAGTCCCAACATCTACTGCATGGAGACTCTATAGTGAAAACGCAAACATTTTCCTGAATATACGTACTGTCATACTTCAGAAGTATTATCAAATGCCAATGAATTCATCCTTTGGTGTTTATTGACTGATTTATTGCTCTGTAAAATCAATTGCTCTATGACTTAATTATTGTAACAAACAGGAGAAGGAATAATAAAAGCCATGATAAAGAATATCATAAATCACTTCAATCACATCAATCAGTTTTCATGGTAAATATCGTATTTATTTATCTTGTATATCTAGCTAGGAAATGGCATGACAGGTGCAACTATTCTAGTTAAAGGTGCAACATATTGCTTTATACAATATATGAACAATGCAAGCACTTCAACAGACGAGTGATGAAATTAAATCACACACATGAAGTAATTCCAGATTTGTTAGTCTTTGTAATTTCTGTTTGTTATTAACAATAACATGCTTTTCATAACAGTGTTCAATGTAAGGTAAATTCCCTTTGATTTAAAACATGTGCTCTTTAAACCACATATATAGATTTCTTGCAGTAACCCCCATCGCATACCAAGTGTACAGTACCTCCTTTTTAAGGATTCAAGCAACAACCTCTATTAAAATATACATGTAAAACCAATAAGAACCATATTGTCAATTTCATAACACACAAACAACCTGGGATGACAGAACCTGATGGGGCTTTAAGAACCAACTTGAGAATGATGGGACCATGATGATACCAGTAGTAATAGGCCTTCTGGGGTGAAGATACCTCTCTTGGGCACCCACTCTTACCTTTAACAACCTGAGCATGATTTGGTCATAGCTCAGAGTGGGACTGGCACTGCTGACTCCCAGTTCTGGCTCCCTGAACAACTACAAAGCAGTGCATAGGGGTCAAACATAGACATTGACCTATACATGTGAAGATGGTTAATGCAGCAGTTGTGATAATGCAGCATTTAAATGCCATTGAGCAAACCACAAGTGGCAAACTATGATAACTAATAATAACTATGAGAAGCAATGACTACATTGAAAACAAAGCAGGGGTCAAATATTGACATTGAACTTATGTATATGAAGACCTCTATGAACATATATGAGAAAGCGAATAACTAGAGAGAGTGTAATAAGATTATAAACTATGGGAAGCAATGACTATACTAAAAGCAAAGCAAGGGTCGAATATTGACATTGGACTTAATGTATATAAAGACCTCTATGAACATATATGAGAAAGTGAATAACTAGAGAGTGTGTAATAAGATTATGAACTATGGGAAGCAATGACTATACTAAAAGCAAAGCAGGGGTCAAATATTGACATTGGACTTAATGTATGTAAAGACCTCTATGAACATATATGAGAAAGTGAATAACTAGAGAGTGTGTAATAAGATTATGAACTATGGGAAGCATTGACTATACTAAAAGCAAAGCAAGGGTCAAATATTGACATTGTACTTAATGTATATGAAGACCTCTATGAACATATATGAGAAAGTGAATAACTAGAGAGTGTGTAATAAGATTATGAACTATGGGAAGCAATGACTATACTGAAAGCAAAGCAGGGGTCAAATATTGACACTAGACTTAATGTATATAAAGACCTCTATGAACATGTATTCACTAGAATTAACATGTAGGAATGCAATTTTACTAGTATTAGCACGTAGGAATACAACCATAACATCGAGTCCTGTATCATAATGAGAGTTATTCCCGTATGTATTTATCTATGCCCTTACTATGGTTAATAATGGTGGTTGGTATTTTCCTGTTTGTAACCTATGCTTACATATCCTGTTTTGTGACTCATGTTTCTTTTAAGTTAAAACATTTGGTTTCAGGATTTAAGCCCTGGACTCAGTTCAATGTGGAATGACCATTCCTTGAAGGTGTCACTTTCCAAAATTTGCATGAGATGCACAGCGCCGAGTGTTAAATTTAGGAAACAATGCCTGAAAAGAATTGTCATTCCACAATGCATTGAGTCTTGGGCTTAACTTCTTCTCACACATTGCAAAATATTCTCTACCATGGCACTAAAAAGATACAAAATCACTAAAAGAACATATTTTCAATGAACCTTTTTATAAGGTTCAAGTTGGCAAAGCATCGATTTCAATCTTAAGAGTCAAGTTGTCACCTTGTCAACCACATGAGGATTGACCTTGACCTTGGATGGGGTGATTGGTGATATAATGCACTATAGATATATGAAATGCTGTGTTTTGATTGGCTTGAATCGGACACACCTTGCCTAGCTGTGTGATTTTTCAAGCATTCTAACAACAGTAACAACACCGACCTCTCACTTAATTTATTATCGTATGATCTGTAAAATGAAGCCCTCTGATTGGTCTCGATATTCTGTATTGGCACTCGACCTTGTCTCGTTCAAATACAAATTTCTTGAGCAGAATATATCCTGTATTGCACTTCAAATCATTCAATAACTTATAATATTTTAGAAATGATCCTTAAAAGTATCATTAACAGCACCTTAACATAATTAGTGCATATAACTAAATAAAAGAGTGCAAGGTGAATATGTTCACAAGGTCAATTTGACACAGTACAGAGGTTGGGAAGACATTCGAAAATTGTAACCGTAAAATGTGGGTTATAACTAGGAAAAGGGTTGTTTAGGTTGAAATAACCATTAATTTTACATGCGGTAAAACATAGTCAAATTACTAATGTAAATATATTTGTTTTGTAAATAATTGTTTGTAAATAACTGCTTGTATAATTATTTGTAAAAGCTCTTCTTCGTGAAGGAAATAAAGATAAACAAACAAACACACGGCTCTATTGTTTCAGTGTGTTTAAAATAATCATGCAAAACAGTGTCATTTATCATGGCCATTAATCATATGCAAAAGAAAGTGCAGATTCACCATTTTAGCAGCCATTAGATTTTGTAAGCAACTATAAGTAAGATTAGATTGCTTATAGTAAAATGTTTTGTAAAAAGCCCAATAATCAAATCTACAGTTAACCTACAAGCCAGCCAGAGCAGTGTAACACTAGTGTGAGCTTAATTGTCCTATTTGTTTTTGCATATTGATAGTGTAAGATTCTGGCAATTCAATCAAATGAAATCAAGTGGTATAAAAATATCATTCAATCAATTGAACAAATAAATATCAGGAATCAGAAGCGTGTTCAAATATCATATATTTTCTTGTAGTATTTAAATGACCCAATTTTATATTTTAATAACATTTAAATCAACTTGTGTTCAATATCAGAAATTATTCCTTTCACTCAACTGAGTTAAAATTGCGTTTAATACGTCGATAAATATAATATTACTTAAATTCATTAGCCAGTACAGCACACTTCAAAGCTTCAAAGAAAAGTTGATGAATTGAAATTGATGTTTTTTGAGGTTGTAATTTGAAATCAGAAGAAAACTGCTATTGCTACGAAACAACCAAACATATTGTTAAATAAAAAGATTAGGCTCAGAACTACACAACTGCAAGAACTTGGTATTTTGAGTGTAAACCACAGATCCACATCAAAATTTGAAATACATGTGCATTTCGGATTTAAATGCCTAAGGTCTATTGGTAGGTTGGTTGTATATTCTATACAAAGATAATTACCTTGAGTTTGTTACTGGCTTCAAAGTCTTGTGAGGCACTTGAAAGAGCTCCTTGCATTCTTTGACAGTGGTCAAAGAAATTATGCAAATGTTGATCCTGAAAATGAGCAATTGCTTATCCTGAGAGAATCTTCTTTATTTCAAGTACAGAATCACAACAGGAAATCACTAAAATGACACATTTTACATTCTAGTTCAACATATGCAAGCTATTTCTATGTATTGTTATAATCTCAAACTTTTTGCTGACCAAAGTTCAGCGCAGCTGGTGTTTGGAATCTGTAAAAATGCCTTTTGGCAGTTGGCCTCTGCAACAAATGGCAGGTGGTGACAGTTTGCATGCTTTGTTTAAGAAATGAATTGAACAAGAGATACGCATTTAACTTACTTTGGTGTATATTGTAGAAGCGAGTTGTAGGTCTACTTTGAACAATTGCTTTCCTCCATCTACCCATTTGATCTCAGGTCCAGCACTCTAAATAAAGAACATTACAGTGAGATAACTTTGAAAGTTGATACACTGTAATTAATCCTCTATTGTAATTTAAACTATCTAGAATGCCTATGGCGATTGGAAGAAGATATTTTGTGTATTTTTTGATGACGAAGGAAATAAATAATGTTAAAAAAAGCTGATACACTTGATTGTTTTATAAACCACTTGAAATATCCTATCAGGTGTAAAGCAAGGTTCTAAAACTTAAGGCAAATTTAAATTGACGAGAAAAATTTCAGTTAAAGGGGGTAAATTTCAGTTAAAGGGGGAAAATTTCAGTTAAAGGGGGAACATTTCTCCCATTAGACTTCATTTTCTTAGCTTCGGTCGAAAAAATGATCAACCAGAATGCCTGACTGGCAATGCCCATACATTTCATTATTATGTGGGTTGAACTTAACAAATATAATTAAGAAGAATGATCAATGACTATGTGATACCATATGTGTGTTCATTATGTTTTGACTTATAGAGATGATATATGACATTTATCTTACCCCTCTCCCCATGCCTAATGGCTGGTGTGTCAGATAGCCTGGAGGTAAACTGCTAGATACAGAAACTTGGTGTTCTCCTACAACTAGCCTAAAATAATAGAATAGTATGTGATTAACATTCAGTATATGATTATAATAGAATAGTATGTGATTTACATTCAGTATATGATTATAATAGAATAGTATGTGATTTAAATTCAGTATATGATTATAATAGAATAGTATGTGATTTACATTCAGTATATGATTATAATAGAATAGTATGTGATTATTCAGTATATGATTATAATAGAATAGTATGTGATTTAAATTCAGTATATGATTATAATAGAATAGTATGTGATTTACATTCAGTATATGATTATAATAGAATAGTATGTGATTATTCAGTATATGATTATAATAGAATAGTATGTGATTAACATTCAGTATATGATTATAATAGAATAGTATGTGATTTACATTCAGTATATGATTATAATAGAATAGTATGTGATTTACATTCAGTATATATAATCCATGACAATAACACAGAACTATTTTTTATTTATTAAAATCAATGTTACATATTTACAGGTTTAGTGGCTATGACCCCCAAGAGGGAGTATTAGGTGCCACATAATGGTATTTACAATGATTTTTAAAATGGACTTAACATTGCAACCACCATATATATAAGCAGTTTTTGAATCACCATAAATAAACAATATATGTATTTCAATGTTGATAGCAAAGCACCATAAAAAATTTAACTCCACCAGTTTGGCACATTTTCTAAATTATAAGTGTTAATTTAAAATAATGTAAAGTTATAAAGCTGTCTTGATGTTCTACACCTTGTACCATATCACCAATCACTTGATAGTCTTTAAATCCATTGGTTAGGAATATTATGAAATAAAACATGGAGCCAATATGGCTCTTTATCACCAATCACTTGATAGTCTTTAAATCCCTTGGTTAGGAATATTATGAAATAGAACATGGAGCCAATATGGCACTTTTCATCACCAATCACTTGATAGTCTTTAAATCCAATGGTTAGGAATATTATGAAATAAAACATGGAGCCAATATGGCTCTTTATCACCAATCACTTGATAGTCTTTAAATCCCTTGGTTAGGAATATTATGAAATAGAACATGGAGCCAATATGGCTCTTTATCACCAATCACTTGATAGTCTTTAAATCCCTTGGTTAGGAATATTATGAAATAGAACATGGAGCCAATATGGTGCATTATATTGATGTTATTTCTCTTTCAAGGTAAAATACATTGGGATGATTAATAAATTGAGTTCTTTAAGGCATTATGTCAACAACGTAAATGGTACAATTTGGTAAAAACTTGTTATTTTGACAAATGAATTTTCATATTGAGGTGATGAGAATTAACAGTGCGCAAGGTATTCTTTTGACATTTCAGTGAAGACACATAGTAGGGTCACTTGAAAATTTTGGGCTTTGGGTAACATAATCTGCTTGAAACACTAACCTCGACATTCTCCTAAGATAATGATAATAACAAAGAGTTAATGTTAAGAAAAATTTGAAATAAAGTCAATGTATGTATTATTTCTCAGTTTTTTCTATCCATTTGGATGGAAATCACTTACTCCTGAAGAGGATTCATATTTTTTATTCTTTATTTTTAATGTTTTAATGCTTTTTAATGTTGTGCAATTAAAGTACTTTGCTCAAAAAATATGATAATATCAATGTCATGACTAAATCATGACCTTAATGCACTATAAAATACCCCCTTTTCAAGGAATAAAGACATTGATTCTATGATTTATGGCACAATATAGCCCCATGACCAAAAATTTTATTCTGTTCATTGCTAAAAGACAGAAATCCAGTCGCGATTGAGGTCTGGCAATGACCAGAATAAAATCTGAGGTCATATATTAGCCATAAATCATAGAATCAGAGTCTTTGTCAGGATTCTAATATGAAAAACGAACAATAAAAACAACTATATTTGTATTTATAAATTCAAGTGGTCATACATACTAAATTATAGACCAGTAAATGAATTGTTCTAGTTATTGTGACATCATATATCACATTAGGGGAGACATCAAAAGTTCAATGTCTGATAGGAAACTAAATAAATCTAGTTTTGAGTTGGACCCCCCCCCCCCTAAAAACTAAATACAATGAAAGTTGATCGCGGACTTTTCGCATGTTTTAGTGACTCAATTTGGACTTTCATGGGGGCAGTACTATTAACTTATTTATGATTCTTAAAACATGTGCCAACAACAATAGGCATAATATTCCATGTTGCATGCATCTTGGTGAAGAAGGCATCTGGTAAAGTCTTTATTTTTAAACCATTCCAGGGCATTTCGAGTCAAAATTGCCAAAAAATTCAATGTTGAAATTTGTCGGATAGCAAATTGAAATAGCTTTGACCCCCTCCCCCCCAAACTAGATTTATTTAGTTTTCTACCAGACATGATCTTTTGATGCCTCCCCTTAAAATAGTAATAATATGACTAGTGTGGTTAGAATATGATGGAAAATTGTGTGACTCTTATGATATAACATGTATGTATATTGTATATGTTAATGTAACTGCTTTCAAATGTTTTTTCTATGAATAAAAAAGGAATAAAAAAAAAATATAAACCTACCTATTCTGTTGAAAGAGTGGTAACCAGGCATGACCAACAACAGTCTCTATATTATGACCTTTCTTAGAAGTCCCTGCCTTGCTCCCCTGTTTCACTTCACAACTGACATGGTAGAATGTGAACAGAAGGTGGTGACGATCACTCACTTGTGTTGGGAGAACAATCTTCACCTGAGAATGTAAAGGCAATTTGAATAGAAGGTGGTGACGATCACTCACTTGTGTTGGAAGAACAATCTTCACCTGAGAATATAAAGACAATGTGAACAGAAGGTGGTGACGATCACTCACTTGTGTTAGAAGAACAAACTTCACCTGAGAATGTAAGACAATGTGAATAGAAGGTGGTGACGATCATTCACTTGTGTTGGAAGAACAATCTTCACCTGAGAATGTAAGACAATGTGAATAGAAGGTGGTGACGGTCATTCACTTGTGTTGGAAGAACAATCTTCACCTGAGAATGTAAGACAATGTGAATAGAAGGTGGTGACGATCACTCACTTGTGTTGGGAGAACAATCTTCAACTGAGAATGTAAGACAATGTGAATAGAAGGTGGTGACGATCATTCACTTGTGTTGGAAGAACAATCTTCACCTGAGAATGTAAGACAATGTGAATAGAAGGTGGTGACGGTCATTCACTTGTGTTGGAAGAACAATCTTCACCTGAGAATGTAAGACAATGTGAATAGAAGGTGGTGAGGATCACTCACTTGTGTTGGGAGAACAATCTTCACCTAAGAATGTAAAGAAAATGTGAATAGAAGGTGGTGACGATCACTCACTTGTGTTGGAAGAACAATTTTCACCAAAGAATGTAAAGACAATGTGAACAGAAGGTGGTGCCGATCACTCACTTGTGTTGGAAGAACAATCTTCACCTAAGAATGTAAAGAAAATGTGAATAGAAGGTGGTGACGATCACTCACTTGTGTTGGGAGAACAATCTTCACCTGAGAATGTAAGACAATGTGAATAGAAGGTGGTGACGATCACTCACTTGTGTTGGGAGAACAATTTTCACCTAAGAATGTAAAGACAATGTGAATAGAAGGTGGTGACAATCACTCTCTTGTGTTGGAAGAACAATCTTCACCTGAGAATGTAAGACAATGTGAATAGAAGGTGGTGAGGATCACCCACTTGTGTTGGGAGAACAATTTTCACCTAAGAATGTAAAGACAATGTGAACAGAAGGTGGTGACGATCATTCACTTGTGTTGGGAGAACAATCTTCACCTGAGAATGTAAGACAATGTGAATAGAAGGTGGTGAGGATCACTCACTTGTGTTGGGAGAACAATTTTCACCTAAGAATGTAAAGACAATGTGAATAGAAGGTGGTGACAATCACTCACTTGTGTTGGAAGAACAATCTTCACCTGAGAATGTAAAGACAATGTGAATAGAAGGTGGTGACGATCACTCACTTGTGTTGGAAGAACAATTTTCACCTAAGAATGTAAAGACAATGTGAATAGAAGGTGGTGACGATCACTCACTTGTGTTGGAAGAACAATCTTCACCTGAGAATGTAAAGACAAAGTGAATACGATTTCACTTTTACAAAAGTGAGTCCAACATTGTAGACCTGATAGATAGATACAAGAGTGATTGCAAAGAAAAATTCTGAAAACACCCCTTCCCTTGGGACAGCCCTGGTACCCTGATAAAACATTGATGAAGGCTGGTGTATTATTGTTAAAATAAAGATGGCAGTGCGATCAATCAAAATCCAAAAATGGCGATATCTAGGATCTCTTAGATATGAACGAACTGATTTTACAACTTCTGTGTTATTTACATTTCATGCCTAAAGTTTAAAATCAGGTCTTTATTGTTGTTAATCCATTAAAAATATTTTCTCACCTCTTCACTGAAATTTGGAACAGTCTGGTGATGTAACACAGAAGTGGTTGCTACGGTAGTGAACACAGTCACTCCTGGTTTACCATAGAGACGTTTCAGTGGTATGCACCCATCAGCATCACTTGCACGCAGCTCTATACAACATGCCAGGTTTCTAGCCTGTAAGATAATAATGATATGATAAATTAAATTATGGTCTTCTAGAGACCCCAGCACTCTGGAAGTTACACCCTCGGCATCACCTGCCCCTACATACTTGACAAATACTTTTGAAATCGAAAATATGTTTTAGACAATTTTTTAACTTTTGCATTAGTTTCATAGTATATGTATACTGGTTTATAAGCTTACTATAGGTTTGTACTGTTTATTTTTACTTCTGAAACTGCAAGTATGATATTAACTGTGAATGTGACTCTTGCAAATATTTTCTGTTATATACCAGAGATCTAGGGTTGACAGGGCAGTGATCCCCCAGGATTTTTTCTCAAGTGGGTGCAAAATTCTCATTTTCACAACTCACACTGAAATTGGTCAAAATATGCCCAATTTTCATGATTTTTCTCACTTTCAAGTGGGTGCAAATGGATTTTCAGGTGGGTGCATTAGCCTGTTTTTAAAATCCCAGGTGGGTGCTGCGGCCACTTGGTTTAATGCTGGGGAGATCACTGCAAGGTTTTTTTGTGTTGCCAGTACAAAACTTTCAATACCAATCATATAAAAAACTATCACTTACCTTTGCGAATGTTTTCTGGCTGTCATATTTGAGAACCCTTGGATAGACATACAGGTGGTTTGTGTATGTGGTATAAGGGAAGGAGTATTCTAGGGCTACAGTCCTAGGAACGAACTCCTCCATCTCCAGGGTTGGGGGCTGCTCTGGGGGGTCAGGAAATGGCTTGATTCCAATCATGGTAGGAGTCAAGGTATCTGGAAAAATTAAGGCCAGGGTGCATGAATGAAATTTTGCTGCAACCCCCAATAGGGTCACATGTGTGAGTAATAACACATAGTCTAATTCTTATCTTTCTCTTAGCCACAGATTAATATAAACAATATTATTATTGGAGACAGAATGCGACGTTTGTATGCCAATTGAGACACATTTATGCCAAATCATAATTGAGCGTATTCCAAACTCTCTTTTCCTAAGGAATACCAAAATACTGCATTCGCTAAACTGAGCTAGAAATATTGTAAACATACAATCAACTCTGTGAAATCATAACAATCACAGAGTTGATTGTGTAATAAATGTACTGTCTATTTGTATAAACAATTATACCGATGAGGAATCTTCGGTCTCAGGAAAGAAGGCTGGATGATTTTGCCACACCAAACTTGGCACCAGTTTTCTATTCTCTGAGACCGATGATTCCATCATCGGCTAATTTAGTTGGCTAATTTTTAGTCGGCTGATATTATTAACTAATTAACAACAGGGCACAGAATTAACAATATCGTACCTTTATTAGGTACGATAAAAAGAAAACCAGCAGACTATAAAAATGAATGTTCCAATGAATTAATTAGAATTAACATTTAGATTTTGATAAAGAGCACGCTAAGAAAGATATTAAGACATAGAATATAAAAACTATTGAAAGAAAGTAAAAAGTAAAAAATAGAATAAAATATTGAATCAATAAGCAAATAGAGAATTTATGTTAACTTTATCTGATATAAAACGACTAACATTGGTGGCAGCAGTAATGGACTCACGTCTTAGAAATATTTAGGAACAATTAAAAAATATTTCGATGCAATTGAAGATAGAAATAATATGGAAAAACTTTGGAAATAAACTTGGAACATAATCTGAAACACAAATGATTGAACTTATAGAAATCTTCAATAGTTTTGATAGGATTTGGGGACATTCATAACTTGGACATTTTTCGGAATCGTATTTCATACAATTGCGAAACAATAATAGGATTGGATCGATAATAAAATGAACTGAAGATAAACACGGTAGGTGAAATTATTAATTATAAATGACTTAACATTAATTTAAATGTCATTAAAATAACTATATGGATATTCTTATGCTTGTATTATATTCTACACAACTTTAAAGACACTAGCTAAAAATGAAATAAAAAAGATATCAACTTTAAAGACACTAGATAAACATGAAATAAAAATATATAAATATAAAATCGGAATTGACATAGGATTTCTTAACTAAACATTTGCACCTTGGCTTTTGTCATTATTTTAACTAAAAGAATACATGAAATCGAACATTAAACTTTAATTGATTTTGTTGTGAACATTATTTGGATACGCTGCCTTTTATGTACAATAATAAATTATAAAGTATAAAATAGTGAACGATAAAAACAAATAGATGAAGCGACAAATATTTATATAAATATTCTGAAAGAATTTAAAAAAAAAACAATTCCGTTGCATTATTTTCAAAGTGCTTTTTATGGACATACCTGCCGACAAAAAAATTATTTTCCGGGAATTTTGATTTAAAAGATTCAATTTATCAGTAAAAATATTTGATAAAAATGGCGAGTACATCAACAAATCCAACAGATCATACACCACTTAAGACCTTTCTGGCGGGAAAGGAGGGTGTAACGTCATTAGATACACTATCAAGAACACTAGATACTTTGGATAAGGAAGGTGATAGTGAACAACAGATACCACCAGTATTGCATCGACAAATATTCAGTCAACAAAAACAAATTACCAAATTATTAGATCGGGAACAGGAATTACAATCTAGGATAAGTGAACTGATGGACAAAAATGACTTTCTCTCAAGAGAACAAGAAAAAATGAGATCCCATTTTGAAGCTAAAGTACAAGTTATTGAACGAGGACAAGCTGCAAATATAGGACAACTGAAGGAAGAGAACAGCCTGATTTGGGAAGAAAATGAAAAGATGAAGGCAATCTTGGAGAAACACGAGTCAACCAGACAAAAACTACAAAGTGGTCCTTCAAACTCGCTAGAATCTGTTAAGAAAAGATTGTGTTTTGAGATCACAGATTCATCATCCGATGAAAGTGATGAAGAATATGACCATGAAGCAGAATCTAAAACCAAGAAATTAAGAGATGCTGAAAGAAAGTCACGAAGAGAGACACTTTATGATTTCAGAGGAAAGGGAAGCAAGTTGGATAGTGATGTTTTTAAGCCATCAACTACAATACAAGGTGATTTGGACAATCTTCATGAAACAAATATGTTTGAAGCAGAGAGTACTAACAGAAAATACAAAAAACCTGCGACATATGACGGAAGGAACAGCTGGAGAGACTACAAAATCCATTTCGATATGATATCTGAAATCAATGGATGGTCTGACACAAATAAAGCCCTCGAACTAGCGACTGCATTAAGAGGCCCAGCATTGTCTATTCTAACTGATTTGAAAGATCGTGATAGACATGATTATGCAGCAATGACGCAAGCCTTACAAGAAAGATTTGAACCAGCAAACCAGATTGAGATCTACAAAGCTGAATTACGTGGCAGACGCAGAAAACCAAATGAGAGTCTGACAGAACTGGGTTCCGCAATTAAACGTTTGACACATCTAGCGTGGCCTGACTGTTCTAGCAAAACACGGGACAGAATGTCTATGGATAATTTCCTTGCTGCTCTACCAGATCGTGAAATCCGCTGGAGTGTGCGACAATCAAGACCGAAATCCCTTGAAGAAGCCATCAGACTGGCCTTAGAATTTGAGAGCTACAAACAGACAGAGGGAACTTCTAGCTTGAATGTGCGATTTCAAGCAGTCACAACAGACAGTACAAGTGACCACGAGCACTCGCCTACACCACCACGGAGAAGGTTTTTACAACAACAGCGTTCAAGATCTCCCTCATGGACTGATTCAATCGAGAAGCTGTTGAGAAAATTGGATAAATTGGACAAGTTAGACCAGTTCGACTTTTCGAAAATCAACACTGGACTTCGAGGTAATAATCACAATGTTGGGTTCAGGCAGAAATATCCCCCCAGGTTCGCTAACCAAAGATGGACAAGACCCGATACACCAAATCAAAGACGCTATGAGGGCCAGAGATACGTCAAGCAGGAACAAAGACCTGCACCATCGATTTTCACCAAGAACCGTAATACACAAGTAAATAGAAGGCGAGAAAATGTGACATGTTTTGAATGTGGAGAACAAGGACATTTATCCTATAACTGTGAAAATACTCAAAAACAAACACCCTCACCTAAAATACAAGCAGAGACATGGGGAAACTAGATGACGCTGGTTTGAAGGGGCTGACATCAGCGTACACAAGATGCCCCAAAGATGTGGTAAATATTAGCTGTAAGGACAGTCCTAATATATATGTAGATATAAACCAAACGCCTGTAAAATGCTTAATTGACACTGGTTCTGTGACTAGTATAATGTCAACAGACACTTATAATGACTTGAACCCTGCACTAAAGCCAGAACTTCTAGAACAAGATGACCTCCTCCGTATGGCAAATGGTGAGCTTGTGAAGCCACTGGGGAAAATTGAAACGAAGATGACCATTTTGCCAGATGTAATTGTGGATCAACCTTTCTTGGTTGCTGATACGACTGTTGAAGCCATTTTAGGAGCTGATTTTTTACGTAGAGAAAAATGTAAATTAAATATGGAAGATGATACATTGTTAATCCGGGACACCCTGGTCAAGTGTTACCCTGAGGATAATTTTAATGTCTGTATAAATGCAGACACTGACATACCTGGTTGGTCTGAAAGTGTTGTCCCAGCCAGGGTAGTATGTCATGAAGACATTTGTGGTGATAAAGACTTTTTAGTGGAACAGAAAATGAGTAGAAATACGGAAGGATTACTCATATCTCGTGTATTGCTGGCCAGCAAGATGAATTTGACCAAAGTTCCACTTTGTATACTGAACACAAGAGGGAGCAGAAAGTTATACAAAGACACTGTCATGGCGGTTGCATCAACTATTTCTCGAGGAGACGTCCTGGGGACAACACAGTCGATGCCGATGATATATAACACCCGTCCTGTAGAATTTGGAGACGTTCAGTATAAATATG